ACCAAGTAAATTTTANGGATGACGTCCTTTGGACGACCCTAAATCTAANGCGAGAGGGACGAAAAAAAAACAGAAGGGCCCTAAAAAACAAGATGCCTAGATTAGAAATATTGCACTGCTGACAGGACCGTCCTGTCAGCAGTGCCGTTTTTGGAACTATTGAGTTATTATTGACGGGATTTTTTTCAGTGCCTTCTTTTCTTTCATTTTTGTTTTAATTTTTTTAACCAGGCACAGGCTTTTGGCGTTACGGGTTTCACGTCAAACTGACAATTTGCGGCACTTTCTGGCAATTTGGTCATAGTTACAGGAAGCGAAATTTCTTGTTTTTTTTTCTAGGTACAGGCCAAAATCAATGCGCGCGCGGACGTCATCCATAAAATTTGGTGTGGCCTAACAAGAAAAATGGATAATATCTAGTAATTACTTAAGGTATGAGGTCGTGGAACTCTTGTTGCCACATAACCTTGACTTTGTAATGTCACTATTATACAACGTTACATCATCGTCGCAGCGCATAGAACTATATTCGGTGGCTTGTAACTAGATATGGACTTTGGCCCAACCGGAAATAGGTCAGAAAATATCGAGTGACCTGGATGCCGAGTAAACAAAAAGGTCACTTGAGTGTCTTGACCCGAAAAACGGCTAACCTTATTTAAATCTTCTTGTGATCAAAGAGGCGAATTCGTTTTTAAAACTCCTTGTTGTGATCAAACAGAAATAATAACTAAAACCTCATTTGTTTATACTATATTTGCATCTTTGTTAAAATTGCTTGTCCTATTAGATATTGAGATGTTCTCGCTTTCATGTTTACCTCGGTCCTCTCTCGAAGACCCTCCAGACCGACCCAGCGGTGCCGAGCTGGGGAGGGTGGCGGCCGCTCGGGCCGCTTCAGGCGGTGGGTGTGCACGTCCACATCCGTGTTAAAGTCCGGTAGGTCCACGGACCGCTTCTGCGAGGATGAGCTGCGGAATACAGCGCCGATCACTGGTGCCAGCCTCCGCGGGAACACATGCAGGCATGGCGCCGAGAGAAGCGAAGACATCGCTCGCTTTAGCTTCTCGAGCAATTTCCAAGAATATAAAACATGCCTGTGAGTGCTCTAAACGCTACAAGCTAATGGCGGTCCAGGCGTTGCCTTTTATAAAGTAGAGTGGGCTCGAGTGGGGTCACAGTGCTTTTAGAAAACGCCTTGTCATCCGTGCTTGGCACCGCCAGCGGTCACGCTGCACTCTAACTGTTGTCAAGAGCTGCTGCAGGTTTATGTATTATCGCCAGGTGACGCTTGCCTCGCGCGCGACTACAGACAGACAGACGTAGTATCGTGAGTATTCTCGAAGGTTCAGAATACTAGTGTCCAAGCAGATACTGGGGGTGGCAAAATCGTTACGTTTTCCCTGCTGCCCCTTTCTGTAACCAGCTGATTCCTTGATGTTGATTAGTTTGCGTTTATCTGAGGGAACAGGAACCCCAAAATGGGTCATCATCATATTCCTTGATAATCTAATACTAGTAATACAGCAGGCCAACTCAAATTGCAAGTTCACACTAATTAGAACACTTAGTATAAAACGTATTGCACGCTTGTGTTCGTACAATGTACAGTGCTTCGATGAAGACTTGACTAGTTGCGCATGCATTGGGTATTACGTCCAGCTGACGCATTTGTGTCGACAGCTTGTGGACATTTCATAGGTCCCCCGCCGCCGCCACCATGATTAAGAAAAGAACAAACTGTTTAATCGGTTTAGCAGCCACGTCGAAAGAATACACCTTACTAGAAGTCTTCTGACGAATAGCATGTACTTCGTCTTTCTATAAGAAAATATCATACTCTCGGCATCCGTACTGATAGGATGGATTTAGTATCGACGATCGTCCTGTATTTGATCCCCGTTCTAATGGTGAATTCGGCGCAAGGTTCGACTCTGACCTTCGAGTTAGCAGACCGAGAGGAGATGTGCTTCTCGGAAAACATCACCAAACCCATCAAACATAATGTAAGTACGTCGTTTTTTTCTAACGATGCCAACAAGAGCGTTGGTTCAGTTCTTGGTGTAGATTTCCATAGATGTGCTCTCTAGATAAAGAAATGAGCTGGAGCTCCCTGTCCGGAGAAACAGATATTTTTGAAGTCCACAAACCAATATGTAGTTCCAGAAAGCACCTCGTCTATTGTGTACAACACTTTATGCCTTCTGTTTCTCTTGTGTATTCTATAAAACTGTATACTAGTAAGTCATTGTCATGATATTTCGTGACCTTGGCTGATACATGTATCTGAAAACCTATGCCTGCTATTTGCATGCATATAGCAGAGTGAATGGTGTTTGTACATATTTGTATATAGTGTGTTTTTCTGTGTACCTGTCCTGTCTTGGTTTTTTAACTTATTGTAAAAATCAGTTACGCAATTCAGGGATGCATGCAGCATTCCCTGCTTTTGTATGATTTTGTTGATTGAATAATAAACTGTAGGTGGAGTACAAGGTCGTGCGAGGCGGAAACCTGGACGTCGACATGAAAGTGTTGTCACCCAACGGCAAGGTAGGCTTCACTTTTTCTTCCTGTCACAGTGGTTTTCAGTTTCAATCAGCGCACATAACTCCGCCATTATGTCAACAGTTCGTCGACATTCCCTTGATACATTTTACAAATTAAAATCAAACAAGGAAAGAAATTCCTTAATCGTAACATGTACTTTTAGAATACCCCAAAATTCGTCCCCAGGCATGGTCGTCTCCAGCCTTAAAATGGTTGTTACACGCTATGGGAATGCATTTTGTTTTGTACTCGTACAGCTGTATCCATTTATTGTCACGTATGCTATGTCATAATATCTTATAGCAAAGTACCTGAGGAGAAGTATTGTGCAGTGTAGCAAGGTATTATGCCAATTCAACAAAACTCTGTTGCATATTACTGTCGTCCTCGTGGACGGAGTCTTTTAAACAAATTTTATAGCCGTGCAAAAGACGACAGAAATCCGTGCATCTGTAAGGCTTTGGCGTAGACTCGTTTGATGGAGTGTTCCGTTCTTCATTAATTTCAGATGATGTACATGGGACAGAAGAAGAAATGGGACAAGTTCCGCATAGAGACGTCCCGCGGACAGTTCAACTTCTGCTTCAGCAACGAGTTCTCCACCATCTCACACAAGGTCATCTACTTCCACCTGTCTCCGGACTATCCCGAGACCCTGTCGGCAAAGATCGGCGTCAAGCATCAAGGCGTGCCGACGCTGACCGAAGTCCTGTGTGAAAAGATTAACACGAACATGGAGAGCGTCGTCAAGCTACAAAAGGTACATATCCTCGGGAATTTTGCCATGCCAGAGTGATCAGTATGATGATCGTGGGTATTAAAGACGGAAAGAAAAAAGAATGACCATATGCCGTTTTGTCAGTATGATTTTTATTTCTCACATGATCAATATTCTGAAATACATAAAACGTACGCTTTGTCAGTGGACATTATGTCCATCAGTTTTCATCTTTCAAACATTTTATCTCCGTGTGTCTCAGTCAAGAGGCCAAAAAGGCTAGCACATTATATAAAACAACACCAGCTGTACAAGCATATGGCAGCAGCTGGTATTTGGGTGCTGACCCATGAAAATATTTATCTTTTGACCCTATAACACAATGCGATATTATATCTCAGCCCGACGTATTAGTCAATTGCTCATAACAAATCACAAAAATAGCTCGTTTGGGCAAACATGTATCATGATTAAAGTTGATATTCCCGTTTTCATGGAACTCAAATCAGTCACTCCTTTTGTTTGGTTGAACCATAAGCTTTGTTTTAATTAATAAAAAACTCAAATCGACCTGCCACCCGCTTTCGTATAGTATTTTCGTTCCGTGATTTTTGTTTGTCGACCTGCAGCTCCTGGAATATGTCTTCAAATATCAAGGAAAATTTGTTGTTACATTAAACTCGTTCTTCTTTATATAAAATCTTACCACGCCAGGACAATACTCATATTTATTTACCACTCACCTGTATATTGTAGTTCTTTGTCAGCTCGGTTTCTGGGTGTCTTGCACTTTTCATATTTCATTCAATGCCGTTCCATTTTATTCCATTTCGCACTTTCTGTACACAGGACTACCGCCTGAAGGAGGCTATCGGCAAGGGGAACGCAGAGCAGCTGAGTGTCGGCGTGCTGTGGTGGTCCATGTTCCAGGCAGGGATCATACTCATCACGGGGATGGGACAGGTGGTCATCCTCAAGACCTTCTTCACCGACAGAACTCCCACAAGAAAGCCCTGAAAATTTAGAAACTTACTAGAAATACCAATTGAAAATAAATATTACATAGATGTTTTGTTAGAAAATTTGTCAACACCACTCTTCAAAGAAACTTTTTTATTTGATATACTCGATCGACAATATGTATTTGTCATTAAAAACAACTACCATTACAGCATCTTCTCTCCAACAATTCCCCAAAGAATGTGAGAAACTTTTCATTTGATATATTTGACATGTATTAACATCTTAAAGTAACTACTATTGTGTATTGCAATGGCTTGGCATTATTTTTACAAGTATTGTTGAGAAGTCTTCATCAATGTATCTACAGTAAGAATGACAACATACAAACTTTTTAGAGAGTTCTACTCTCCTTTATTTCAGATTCCACAGCAAACACAGCAAAGGCAAGCTCATAAGCTTAAGGCACAAATTATAAAACCTATGATAATTCCAATCCGTCTGATTAGATCTACTTCATATGACTTCATCCAAATCCAGTCCAACAGTATCCTCTGTAATATGATTCAAAGAACATCACAAAACCACAAGAGAAAAAAACACAGATATGAGACCATTCTTACTTTTGTGAAGAGTGTGCTCAGGAATTTTGGAGCCATACACATTGTATACGTGTACATTGTCATTACAATAACATACTGAAGAACTGTTTGTCCTTATTAATCACTCATAAAAAAACCTCACATTATATGGCTGATTTGTAAGATTGTCGAATTCTTTAACTTTCCATTGCTACTAGTATTTAAAGCAAGATTTTTGTGGCCTCAATAAAGATGCATGTTCTGAGTGCTGAAGCATGTCAGGTTAGAAAGTGAACTGGCAGACGTGGTAGGTGGTTTTATTGACAAGGCTGGTCGTCCCAGCCAAAATTGGCAGCTGGCCAGAGGTGGGTGCAGTTTCCAGAACCATTGGGCTCACCTGGGGAAAAGGGTTATATAGGAACTGTATTAGTTATTAATTATTCAAAGAAAAATAAAACTTTGAGACTACTACTGGAGGAATAACGGAGATAACTTCCGGACATATCGAGTGACATCGGTCACTCTTCTTCAGCGTCACTAAATGAACTGAGATCACAAAATGACACTAATCACAATGAATTAGTAAGTGTCTCCCACATTGAGATATGACAACCTTCTTTAACAGTGTGCTTAATTTCTGTTTTCTATCTATTTATAGCTTTTGTGTTGCAAATTTTTACACCCAGACATTCAAATTTCAGGATAGTCCTCGCAAATTAGTGTGCTTAAAATGAGCTATTTGTCCATCAATTTCAAGCAACCAATCAAATCAACTGGCAATAGAAAATATTAATTTACTGACTCGTCTTAATTTTAGCAAAACCATTGTCTAATCTGTACTACAAAAATACATACATTACCACAACTGCATGCCATGTATACATTTACTAAGATGCAGGCATTATATTGTTTAATATCAATCCATGTAATAAACAGATATCAAACTCACCCCATGCCCAATAAGTGTAGGAGCTATCAGTGATGTGTGTTCCGTCACTCCACTGCCACTCTCCGCTGAAGTGTTGGTCACCCAGCCCGATCCAGGCGTCCTTGTTGGACACAGACAGAAGCTGGACAAAGAAGTCCTGCATGTCCTGGTCCTGGATGACCGCCAGAATCCCGCCCCTCTCGTGGCACTCCTGCTTGGCCTGGTCGTACGATCCCGGGGTTTCCGACACGGAGTAACAGTTACCCCGGTATGGTGTGCACTCTGCAAGGATAGTTATTCAAAGTCACCAGTTTATTTGCCTCTATTAAACATGAGGGGTACAGGGTAATTAAATTTACTCTTACGGTGATCATAGTAGACTGTCATGCCAGAAGTCAACCATTCCTTAAAACGAAATGCTTTAATTAGTTGGTTCCGAGTAAAATATAGTACAGTGTCACATGATGTTGCACCAAAATACAGAGGAAGCAGATTTCTGCATGATGAAAATGTCTAGAATTTAGTTGTAGATTATTCTTTTGTTATAAAAGTTATTCAACCAAATTGAATGATGAATGTAGTATACAGTTCACAGTCAAAAAAGTTGAACGACAACACAAACAGCACATACAAACTAACAAAAAAGTCACTGCTTCAACTTTTGGCATAAATGTTATATTTTTGTTTCTAACCAAGAGAAAGATTTTTGTTTGCCTTCACAGTTGTCTCCATAATATCCCGGCAGACAGGTGCAGTTATAGCTGCCAGGTGTGTTGGTACACTGGGAGTTGTCTGGACAGAAACCCACATACCGACACTCATCGATATCTGTGGGCCAAAAAGACTGATAATTATAAATGTGATAAACATGCATTCACAGAAAATGACAATTTAAAGACGCTATTAAAAACACTGGGAATAAGTAATTGCTCTCTATATGAATTCAAAAATTTAAAAATAATTACCGGTAAGGAATAAAATTATAAGGATTATGAAACATGCTACAATTTGCAAAGTTTTAAGGTGACAGTCAAAATTTCAAGGCCATTCCCTTCCTTTCATGTTACTTGAGATGCTGTTTGTGGTATTTCCTGCTGGAGTATAAAAGGAATGCCTACCAAGACAGTTTGGCTCCTCAAATCCTGGTAAGCACTGGCAGGAGTAGGTCCCTGGGCGGTTGTAGCAGGCAGCGTTTGGACAAATGCCTGGCTGGGTACACTCATCAATGTCTATATAAACCATTGGAAAACACAGTGATGTTATTTGTAAGGGCTGGTTCATTGTGCAAGTTAGCGAGGAATGAGATTAAAATATAAAAACCTTGAGAAGTGGGACTTATGTAATTTCTCATAATTCAACATTCCTATCATCACTATTTTTTGGTAAATGCTACTAATGTAAGAAATTTTTGTATGCTACTCCTCTACAATACTTTGGCACTTTGAACAATGATGTTATTTGTGTGCATTAGAACTATGTTCAATGGTTGTGCCATAGGATAAAAGCCTTTTCTTTTTAGCAGACATGGTTCTGGTGTTCCTTAATACATCTCACAAGAATCCCAACAATACATGTATATTATACTGGCAATTGCTATAAATATGAAACACAAAAAAGTGATTTATAATGCACCTTTGCACAGTAATTCCCCTGCGATGTCCACCTGTTCGTACCCATTCAGACAATCACAGACGTATCCTGCTGTGTCGGTCAGTTTGCATGGATGGATGCCACAGTTGCACTCAGCAAAAGCTACACCGCAGTAAGTGAAGAAAAAGCAACTAGTACATCTGACTTTTCCCAGAACATCTCATGTTAATGCAAATACATATCATTTATATTCAATGACAATGACACACATCCAGGATATTTGTTTTTGACTCAAGAAAATTATTGACTTACAGCATACAATTGAGCACATCAGATGATAATTTGTTATCTGTAATGTATTCCTGTCAATATTTTAAATTTTGATTCTAGTAACAACGCCCAGATTTGAAGCAGCTGCAAGTTTTAGATAGCCAATTTCAAAGCCTGGACCTGTCCTTGGTGCTGAAATCTGCTCCATTGTTGCTTAGAGACAAAACACACCAAAAACTGTCCATGTTAGAAATGTTTCAAGCCTGGAGATTTATCAGAGACATTCTGTTCTCAAACTGGTCGTATTGTAAATGGGTAGTGTTTCTTTAAAAAAATCACATGTTTATAAATTCTAAATGAAGTATTGGTATCAACCTTATTGCTCAATGATATTTTGTGATCATACTGTCTAATGCATTTTTCAGTGGTTTTACTTTGTGGTAAGGAGGAAAAGTGTGAAATGTGGTTGTGTCAAATTGTGTTAATTTCATGGTTGAAAACTTTACATAATACTGTTGTTAAGTAGAACCACAAAAAGTGGTATGAGGTTCAGGAATTCACAGTAAAGAGGTCACCATGAAAACAATGATAATGGAACTGTCACAAAACTTTCTGCATTTGCAGTAATAAAGTATGAAGTTTACTTCAGATATAATAACTAAAGTGGAAGCTGGAAAACAGGATAAGTACCTTGGCAGTCTGTAGAGTTACGAGCACTCATCATGGCGGTTGTCGTCCCCTCCTTACAGGGTTTGCACTCAGTCTGTCCTGACTCGTCCTGGTAAGTGGCGTACGGACACGGGCGGCAGTCGTTCTCGTATATGTCGTAGTATGTACCTGGGCCACACCGTCCTGCATAACACAAACCCTGCAATCACTACAACTCACAATGTCAGATTTTCTTGTATGATTTACTAAAAACCAATTTAAGATGGACTTGATTGTGTGCATTGTCAAGAAAACTCTGATATCATAATCATTTACAAACTAGATGTTCACAAATCAACAGAATTGTTCAACTTCCTTGAATACCAGTAGTATCACCAGGTCATGTTCAGGACCAAATACTTCTCACTACAGTGCAAAAGGTAGCTCCAGTCATAAATGCCATGAGGAAGATAGCAGAAATACTACAAATATATTAGCAAGTAAGTACTTTGCTTTTGGGTTGAGTATAAAAAATCTAATATCCCTAAATCTGAAACTGTTGTACAGCATAATTTAATGACCAAGGCATGAATCTGAGGGAAATTTCAGATTTTATTAGCCAATTTCATAACCGGGAACTGTCCTTGGTGCTGAGAGTAGTGTTCCACTATTGGTATCATAACATCTGGACTTCTCTGTAGGTATTACCAAGCAAATTTACACTGTTTAAAGAAAATCCTTGTCAAGTTCAAGATGGCAGTTACCATCACTTTTCCAATTTTGGAGCTGCTCCATAAAGGTGAAGTATAATGTTACACTCATACTGTACTGTTTTTTTTGCTCCATGTTCGTAAACTAATCTTGTAAGCATACATACTACACTGTACTCCCTCCAGTACTTCTCCCAGCTGACATCCCAGACTTGGAGGGGAGATCTGCATGTTGTCAGCCTGAAGCATGACTTCCACTCCCTGTACTGACAGACTGATCCCTCCCGGCTGTTGAAGAACTGTCAGTGCCTCCCTAAATAAAACAAAAAACTAATGAGTGAATCATATTTGCACCATGCATTGAAGTCATTATACATTTGTAATCACCAGTAGTCCTTGACCAGAGTAGTTCAGCAAAATTCTCATACAACGGAAAAAGTGATATTGGGCCAGTTGAGCTCACCAAAGAGCTAATTTTCCACTTATTGTGACAGGCTAGACAGATATGTGCACTGTAGATACAAGGGAAATACGTAGCTATTTTCATCCGTACAATGAACCCAATAGCTTTATGTATCATTCTACTGACGGCAACCCCTTTCAGAAGCATGCATGACAGGTGAGCGACGACTGCCAGGATTCAAAGCCCCAACCTTTAGCTCCAGAGGCTGGGTCATGAACCACTGGACTAAACATGCCACAGACAGATACCATTGATAACCGAGTAGAACAATAGTACACATACCTAAGTTCTGCAGCCAGTCGAACCCATTCCATCTGAATTGTGTTAGTTTGTGTGATGAGGCTCTCGTCTGCGTAGCCGTACAGTTGAATAGACATGGTGGCACGGGTTGTTGGATCTCCCAGCCTTTGCCCGCGGTCCCACTCTGGCATTTGGATCGATTTGCAGCTCAACATTGCCAACCTTAAGTCAACACAACAATTGTTACATAGAATTGACATCCCCAGATCCAAAACTCATTGTAAACTCTCTTAATTCCAGTTAGCACCATAAGTTACTAACTTCTGTCACACTGCCTAAACCATCATTTGAGACCTATCAAACACAGTATATTCAGTAACCTCAGAGGTATGCACTCTTTAGATATCCAGGTGTTCAAAACATTCTTGAGTTATTGAAGACCACTATAACTCTGCATGTCTTTAGAGTTCTTCGGTTTAGGTTGACATTACCTGTTTATAGTCTGCATTAATGTATTGATATCAATTTGAATTTTGATGTGAGTATCTCTTTCATTTGCCATTCTAAAAGTATGACTAGTGCCTTATGGGAAGGAGAGAATGGAACCGAACAGATACAGTCAAGCTGGCTACCTGGCCATAACAACTGCTTTTCCTGGTTCCAAGATTTCCATGCATGCATGTACGTGCATGCACTAAGCAACATGCCCAAGAAGGTCACCCCTAGCTGTCCAAGAAGACCACTTCACCTCAGTCCCCTGGCTGGCCTTCTTGGGCAGGTAAATTGACTGTACAATGTACTAGTGGAGGAAAAACCCACCTGGCATGGCAGAGTGCAGAGGTTATTGCTGAGGAGGTAGTTCTTCATCTCTGCCTCGATGGCTGCCAAATCAACAGCTCCAGAGTAGGTGATGGACAAACCGTTGGCGACCACCAGAGCAAAAGGATTGAAATAGGCTGTGGAGAGTCAGGTAATAAAAGACAAGACAAACGGGCACTTAGGATTTCACATCCATCCATATACATTTGTAAAAAGAATTCTCTATAATTTGTAACGGGACCACTAATTACAATGTAATTCTCTGTCAAGTATAATTGACAGCAAATTGAATTTAATATTTTTCCCTAAGGATATTTCTGACTTAAGCATAATGAGAATGAAGAGTTTGCATAATTGGCAATCACAAAGTACATACTTTTTAGTAGATGCATTCCAATGTCCAACAGCCTTCTTGATTGCCTTCGTGTCAAAGAAGGACAACCACATCTACGATTCTCATGAGGTTTACCAAGACAGCCATTTCCTCATTGGGCATAACTACTAGCTAATAACTATCATCATATGCATATTTGTACTAACCAGAGGAACACACTCCAACATTGACAGAGATAAGAGAGGAACCGCCAGTCACATAGCGACGGACGCTCCACAGCCAGCCGGTCGCAGCGCTACATTCATACAGAGCCTCGTTATGGTTGGAGTACTCCTTCGGAGCGTTGCAGTGCATCTGGCAGTAGTCCACAAGTTCTGAACCCTGCGGGCTGCTGAAGCAGATCTTAGTGCCTCCGCTGGGGCTGGGCAGGGTGCTTCTGTCACACAGGTTGTAAGCTGACAGGGACAAGGCAACATATGTATAAAAAGAGATGTAATCACTATTATGCTAATAGTATGCAACATTAGCCTAACCTTCAACCGGCTTTAAATTTGGATGGGGTTTAGGTTTAGGTGGCCAGGAGGGGGTTAAGTCATGGCCAAAGATAACCGTTTTGCTAAAAGACAGTCAAATATGTTAAAAATAAGTTGTTTTTTTTTCCAAATTTTGAAACATAACTAACCACAATGTCTGGAGTTTACATAACTATGGTTACCTTGACCAGCTTCAAGAAGAACAAGGCATATGCAGGAATTTTGAGGCCTTCCAAACATCAAACTCCATAAGATGACATTATCATACAGTCATTATGGTATGGTATCATTAAGTAATGATAAGATGTATGTTGCTATGAATATAGAAAATGATTATTTCCTCACGTTCGCAATAAGGCGATGGTCCCCAGTCACCACTGGCGGAACATGTGTATGATGCATTACCAACAAGACGGAATCCACTGTTACATGAGTAAGTCGCAACATCACCATGGCACAGTCCCGTCCAGCTTACCCCGCCATCTCGGATGGATCCTGGATCTCCACAGCACATCACTGTAGTATAGAAAAACAAAATCAACTAGAAAGGTCACATTTGCAAAACAAATGCATAATGTTTACCTTCGCATATGGTCTGCTCTGTTAATTCTTACTCAAACACATTCACATATATGGTGACAGGAGACTAAATCCCTCCTGCTATAAAATTGCAACATTACATAATCCAACACCAGTTACCATGGTGATAGACATTTTGATCATTGACCAGGGCAGAGGTCAGTGTTTGGAACAGAAGAAGAAGAAACAGAGCAAAAACAATATGTTTTCCTTTGGTTAACAATTTCAAGACCTGGACCTGTCCTTGGTGCTGAACGTAGCTGCAATCAACGTCCATTGTTGTAATAAGAGAAAATATGCTGAAAAACTGTCCATATTAGAAATGTTTCAAGTCTAGACATTTATCTGAGACATTATGTCCTTTAGCTGGGTGCATATTTCCAAAGGGTGTTTGTTGCTATCAATGCAGCATAATGTACTAGTCTTATCACCTTGCATAATAATTAAACACAATGAACAAGTTCAATGAACAAGTTAAAAGGAATTCTAAACTCACAAAAAAAAGGCATGAGACTTAATGACACCATGGTTTTCATACATGTCATATCTTAATCAGAAACATTGTGTTCTTACATTGACATTGGGGCATCTTTCCTTCCCATTGTCCACTTGTGTTGCAGTAAAGGATGTCGTTTCCATATATAATGTAGCCTTCCGAGCAGTCTGCCTGGCCCACAGCACCGAAACAGTTGCCGTGTGCAGTAGTAAACTGGCCGTTGGGGATCACCAGGGAGCTACTACAGCACACCTCTTGACAGAGGTTTGAAACAAGAGTGGTGTTAAAAAATACCTTGTCAATGTTACCTTATATAGTAACATTGACAATATATAGTATGTACAGCACTACTGATATGCATAATTTGAGGTCTAGAAAACAGACACAACTTATTAAGTAACTTTATCTTCAGAAATTAACATTATGTATTTTGCAGACATTATAGTGTCTAGACTAGCATTACATTTTTGCTGAAATTGCCCTTTTTTTACAAATATAAATTGAATTTTCTTTGAAAAGATGCTATAAGACACAACCTCAACTTCTTAACACGTTGCTGCTCACTTACTCTGACACTGAGGAATAGCGGCATCCCAGTGACCAGTCTCATTGCAGGTTGCAGCTGTGGCTCCTAATATTTCATAGCCAGGGTCACAGTTGAAGGTGATGGTGTCATTGTAGCAAATTGTTCCCGCAAAATCACCAAACTGAATAGCAGGTGAACTACAGCATATCCCTGGATGCAGAGGCAGAGAAGAAAAATCCTTTACGAAATTCCGTTGAGAAGGCATATAAATACTAAATACATATACTTTTTTCATTTTTTTTCATCAAAATATGATTATTTCTACAATTAACAATTATTGACAATGTCCTACAAAAGTACAGGATCTGGATGAATTCAAATCCTTATGATTATGATTGCATAGCAGCAAGGCTTTGGTACTTCAGTAACTTCCAGTAACTGCCAGATAGCTTTCTACTAATTGAACAGGAATCACAGTAGCTAGCTCACTTTGACAAAGAGGCGTGGAACCACTCCACAGTCCGCTGGCTTCACACGTCCTGATGCTGTCCCCGACAAGCTCATATCCAGGCTCACACATGATGGTCGCCGTGTCACCAAAAGTGTTCCCTGGGGCTCTGACAGCTCCATAGACAGGGGCAAGTAGTGAGCCGCAAGTCACACCTTTATTTCGAGAAAGAAAGAATTGGTACAGTTACTGCAAAATTTTTCAGATTCATATGCTATAGAAACACATCTCTGTGTAATCATTGACATTATATATATCATACTTTAGCATTACAAGTATTTCCTCACCGGTATTCTATTTTTTTGCAGTTTGAATTTTTCAATGCCAATGTCAGCTCAATGTCAAAAAGCATCTAAATTAAGAGCAGAACAATTTACATTATATAAGTGTATCATTCCGTTATATTGGGAACATCAAGACTCACTTTCGCATTTTGGTACACTTCCACTCCATGACTGGGAATCCTGGCACACTATGACATTGTTGCCCACCAGGTTATACCCAGCCTTGCAGGAGAAGGTCACACGGTCACCCACAAAGAAGGTTCCACTCATGGTACCATCAGCTGGGGCTCTGAGAGCATGACATTCTTTGGCTGAAGGATGGAAAACATGAATGAAACATAGTGAGTGTGCTGAAATACTAAAGTACTGGGGGTCTTCAAGTAACATTTTAAATTGCTTACCAATGCATGTAGGTGCTGTACTGCTCCATTGTCCGTCGTCCATGCAAACTGCAGTAGAATTACCCTGAATCTCGTACCCAGGATTACATGTGAAAGAGGCGTAGTCACCATAATACAGCCCACCAGTGGAGGCACCGTTTGCGATGGTACCCAGCTGTGGACACTGCAGCCCTAAAGTAATGCATGAACAAAATTGTTGCTTAATACTATATATTCATATTCTAGCTTTTGTTCACAGATCAGTCAGTTAATTTTTCAATAAAAGATTGCATCACATAATGATACAAACTTCCATCACATTGTAAAGTAGCCATTTGACTATACCAATTCTCTCTTGGTTATGGGGTTAGGTAGAAATTAAAATATGTCTGGACATGCATGATTGTAAAGTTAAGTGCATTGCTTACTGACAATGTATCGCAAGCAGACAATGATGATTTCAACAGTTATTTCAGGATATAAAGTCTTACAATTGCTGAATAATTAACTTTATTGCTGCTAAGGTAGCTGATCCGCACCAAATTTGTATTGGTTACTGAGTTAGGCAGCAGGGAGAAGGTTAAACAAGTGGCCTACTTTGACAGTATGGCTGTGTTCCACTCCACTGCTGGTCACTCTGACAGGTTCTTGTCTGGTCTCCCATCAACATAAACCCAGTACTGCAGTCATACGTCACTGTGTCTCCGTACTGGTTAGAGCCGGTTATCCCACCATTAACAGGGCTAGACAAGCTCACACAAGATATTTCTGTAATGACATATTAATCTGATTACCAAACTGATAATACTATCACTTACTACATACTTTTCCATCATAATCTGTATCAAAGGTCTGTTGCAAGAGAGCCAGTCAGCATCTCTAGCAGCAGAAGGCAAACACTGAGTTGCTACCAGCCAATCAGCACCAAGGACATAACAGCACTGGTTATAATGTAGGAAGCAAGTACTTTGAAAACCTTGCATTTAGTTACTTTTATTATAGTACAGTGGACTGATGCCACCATCTGCTATATATAATCACTTGTAGTAATTACTGAATATTACAGTAACTGTAAACTGTTATGCAGAAGGTTATTTGAATACAAGTAAATGTGTATTGTTTCTTACTTTGACACTCCTAAACACAAAGTGCAAGCTGGAAACATGTCTACCTGACACTATGATAACTGATAACCTAGTTACTCACTATTGCAACTTGGTTGTGTTCCGCTCCATGTCAGGCTAGCCATGCACATCCTGACGGGGGTTCCACCGACCGCCTCATACCCGGTATCACAGGAGTAGGTGGCAGTGTCACCAAACGTGGAGCCCCCAGCCACAGTTCCATGGGCAGGCGAAGCCAGAGTTTGACACCTCAAAGCTTTGAGCAAGAGCAAAATTATCACAGGGTCTTGTGTATTTCTTAGTGATAATGATCACATCAAAAAATGATTCTGTAATACATGTATCGCAATCATAATTGCTAGCAGAACATTAACAAGACACATGAATTTTAACCTTCTCACCTTATTCTCAGAGTTGAATAATCAGCTGTGGAATTAGTTTCAAGATTTAGCACAGTCTGAAGTTCTGTGATACCAAAGCATTTAAACATTAAAACATTGTGCTATTGTCATATAATTGCAAACTGAGAGCATTCTTGCAAAAGTCACTCATATGTCTTCAAAAGTAAACTGTCATGAGGTAAAGTTTTCTTAGATCCTTGTCATGAGTGGTTGGTTCTGTCACAGCCTACTTTAAAATCAAAATCTAAAGATGGTCTTACCATTCAAATGTTGAACTGATGTTTAGACTTAAGAAGCCGAATGCTATTACAGACAAACATTGGTCAGTGACTTACAGTTACACACAGGCTGGACTCCTGACCACGTCCCATCTGCCTGGCAGGTGCGAGAAATGCTCCCATTCAGCGAATACCCTAGGTCACACGCAAAGGTCACCTGGTCTCCGAACAAGTTGTTACCATTCATCTGACCATTAGCTGGCTGGCTCAGAGCTGGACAGCTAACCCCTGTTGACGAAACAGCAATAACAAATCTTCAGAAAACACACTGATGGCAGCAGTTAGTCTTCAAGGGGATCATGAAATTCAATATGATTTTAAAAGTGGTAAGTGGAAAGGCAAAACAATTGAACTTTTGCACCCTAAGACATGGATATGAATAGTTGAGTCCATTTAAGTACCAAAACAAGAAATTGTCATTACTCAGATACAGCATTCAGTTATCAAAAAGACAGAATTATCCTTGTACAATCTGACTACAAATGTTAAAGACATGTCAACTAGGAATAGACGTTGTTGGTCATAATCAGGCTACCTATGGATAATCCATGGCATTTGAAGAACTTATCTATATTACAACCACAAGCCTGTACTGTAAAGTCAAGCAGAAGATACACACGGTCACAAGTTGGTGGGGTCCCACTCCACTGCTTGTGTCCCCAACAGGTGAGCATTGCATCGCCATTGAGGTCGTACCCAGGATTACATGTGAAGGTCATCTGGTCACCAACAAAATAGGTTCCAGACATCCCACCATTGTTTGGTACCTGCAGAGGTGGGCATTCTTTCCCTGCATGGAAAGGTAATCTTGAAATGATAACTGCTACCAATCAAATGACATAGTTTAATTTATTAATTTACAATTACAGCAGCATAAAGCTGCATTTACAAGTGATATAAGAGTGACACGTATATATCAGCAGTGAATATATAAGAAAAAGAGTCCAGTATCAGTCTTAGAAAATAGCTACAAGTGTCAATAGTCTTTTAAAAAGTTGCTAATAGTATATGCACTTTGGACAAGTGCTGTGAACAGTGAACCATAATTTGCAATGACACTGCAACCCTTTCCACAACTGCATGCAAACTTGGAGACTGTGCAAGCTAGACTATTACTAATTTACTGAATCTTGCATTTGCAGATTGTACAGTCATATAATTCCATGAAAAAAATGTGTTTCCTACGTTGACAGTACGGCTGTGTTCCACTCCACTGTTGGTCACTCTGACAGGTCCTTCTCTGGTCTCCGATCAACTCATAACCATAGTCACAGACAAAGGTCACCGTGTCTCCATACAGGTTACTCCCAACTACTCTGCCATTGGCAGGAGGGTCCAAGGTCAAACACTCCTTTCCTGAAATGCAGAGGTTGATCTATTTCACTCTATTTATGGTAACATGAGTTTTATACATGTGTGTGTGTGTGTTTAGATTTACATGTAAGCCCTGGTGTCAACAACTACTACAACTATCAAATACTAGAATCAACACACTGAATGCAATATTTCTATCAGATAGTACTAATAGTATGTAATTTTGTTAATATGGTCATTAATCACCATGTGATCAGAGAGAAGGCTTGAGTATGTCCTCAAAAATCAATTAATGTGTAATGGCATCTTTAACATACAGGGGGTTGATGCTCGAGGCTCCATCATACAGAGCACAGAAGGATTACTGTCCTGTCTGAAGGAACATTTGATTCAAATTTGATTCAAAGAGTTTAACTGATAAAACCGTCATGATGACATTTACATGTAGCACAGGGCTACCATAGAGTCCTACAGTTAGCAAAAGTCACCTAGAATATTTGAAAAACATTATTTTGCTTACTGGTACAGGTTGGCTCCATCCCGCTCCATGTCTGATCTGCCTGGCACGTTCTCACTGGAACGCCGTCGACTTCATACCCTGTGATGCAGCTGTAGAACACTGTGTCGCCATAGAACGATCCTGCTGTTACAGACCCAGCGGCGGGTGCTACCAGATCTGGACATTCCGTGCCTGGGAACAGATGCAGACTGAGTGTACAGATTTGTTCCTTTTGCAACTCAATCTTTCTACTTTCTCAGTTTTTAGTCCACCAATTTTGTTTGAAGCCTAGTAGTACGTTTATGCATGAAACACACAAAAAGGCCTGCTGGCCACTTTTCATTGACGTCACGAAGGAAGAGGACTGGGGCAGACAAAATATAACAAGATACAGGTTACACGATTGAAGTCCTACCAATTCCATAAACATTCACATAATATCTTTACATATTCATGGTTTTACAAAAAAAACACAAATAGCAAAAATAATGATTGGCGTATGGTCCACGTCCGTTCATTTAGATATCATTAAAAAAAATAAATTAAACCTAATCAGACAAAAATGGATTGAAGTTGACTCACGGTTACAGACAGGCTGGGCGCCTGACCATATGCTGCCTGCCAGGCATCTCCGAGAGGAACTTCCAAAAAGAGTGTAGCCAGTGTTGCACACAAAGGTCACCGTATCACCAAAGAAGTTGCTGCCGCTCATTTGACCATTTGCTATGGTGAGTGAAGGGCACTGGGCTCCTTGTGACAGAAAACATAGAATTTACTTTTAGATTACTTTCACAGACATAATGTTACACTGAGTTGACAGAAGGTGACCTTCTGACCATATTCAAACATTATGTAGATGTAGACCTTTTTCAATAGATACGTGAAAGAAATAATTATGATAATGTAACATGGCACTACAGACATTCTATCTACCAAATACAAAATGTACAGTCAAGACAAATCAATAACAAAGCTATAACATTTGCTGGATAGCAGTTAATCTAATCAAGTGATCATTATTTTAAATTCTATTTTTAAGAAACATCAGCATTTCATGTGGATTTTTAGGTTTAAGATTTCCAATGACATAACATCAACCTCAACTGCAATGATGAAAGATAATGAGTGCCACATACTTTGACACGAAGGCTGCTGTGCGCTCCATTGCCCGTCAGCCTGGCACGTCAGCGTGGCGCTGCCAACAACGATGTACCCGGTGTCACACACGATAGTCACGGTGTCCCCATAGGAATTCCTACGTTCCAGCCAACCCATTGAAGGTGGTGATAGCGGTGAGCACTGTATTTCTGTATGATAACACCAGTTTGTGGCATTGTGTCAGTCACAACAAAACTGCTTTTGCAGTAATATTATCAATGGCAGAACTTATTGATGTCAGTGTAAAAAGATTTTTAAAAAGTTGTATTACTGGTAAGTTGTTTTATGATTTATGTAAGATTTTACAATGGGTTTGTTGCTTGCATCTAGTATAATAAAATTTTAATATATAAAACATGAATGTTTTTAATCATTTAGAAGTAGCAAAAGCTGGTACATATGAGGAGTCTTTACTTACTTTGACAGTGAGGTGGAGACCCACTCCACTGTTGGTCACTCTGGCAGGTCAAGGAGGAGCTGCCAACAAGCTGATATCCAACGTTACACTCAAAGGTCACTATGTCTCCATACAGGTTACTGGTTCCATTTATTATACCATTGGTGAGAGGGTCCAGCTTCTGGCATGCCACTCCTGGAATAGTACAATCACAGATATTGTTATATATAATATATAAATAGCACTGTAAGAAGATCAAACATACTGTCAGTATTAAAGGGGTATATGTATTTGCATTTTGCCATACTACACTGTACTACATATAACTTATTATGTCACAATTTCAAGAACAATGAAAAGAAATTATTTGAGAAAAACTCTATGCACACTATTTGGTAGCAATTGCCATTTTCAAATACATTGTATTCAAAAATATTTTTGTTAATAAAAATGCTAGAAATTACACCAGCATGAAACATATCATATTCTGCATGCTGTAGGCAAATCTATGCAGCTGAATTTGTTTTGGCTATAGCAAAGCTTGGCAAGAAGGGCTAAGCAACAAGCAGGTGTAACTAGTATGCAAATATAACAAAACAAGATGAATGTGTATCAACTAACATTACCATGTATAATTAACTAGTTACTTACTTGTGCATGTTGGTTTTGTATTGCTCCATGTTTGGGTAGCCTCACATGTCTGGACAGACAGCCCGACGAGTTGATACCCAGTATCACAGGAGTACGTCACAGTGTCACCGATGTTTGTGCCTCCACTCAGAGACCCGTGTAGTGGTGCTACCACGTCAGGACACTTCATCTCTGAAAATAACATAGGATTAACAATTTAATATTTACAGAATGGTGGATGACTGCTGGAAGCAGGATGTATGTTAGATAATCCTATAAAGTGTGTTGAACTTCACAGGGCTTCACTTCAACATGTATGTGGTTTGTATGAGCCTTGTTTTGAGGTGAAAATTGAAGTAAATAAAAAGGGCTGCAAATTTTTACTTTAACGTTTGAAATAGAAACAAATAAAAATGACAAACAAATTTCATGGTTTGAAAGATGGAAAGAACAAGTCTTAGTGTACCATCATTGTACCATAAAGAGCCCAAACTTGGAATTTCACATAACCTAGATGTTCTAGCTCTTTGACAGCGCAGAGGGCAATTTGGTAATTCCCCCAGCCCTACTCCTATAAAAGACCTGGCTTAAATTGTTGACCTGTCTCATACACTTACGGTTACAGACTGGCTGGGCTCCCGACCACGTTCCGTCAGCCTGGCAGGTACGTGAGGTTGTCCCACTGAGGATGTACCCAGGGTTACACGTGAACATCACCTGGTCTCCGTAAGACATACCGCCACTCATCTGACCATTGACTACAGGACTGAGGGGTGGACACTGTACCACTGTTTTGAGAAGAGACAGGTTGCATCATGTTAGTCCAGCAATACCAGTTTAAGTATAAGTTAAAGAGCCTTCTTGCATCAAGTGATGCATAGGACGGTGCTGATCTCCATTTTCAATAGCCCTGAGCCACACAGCAGTGTAATCACTACAGCAGGGGGCTAGTCTACTGGTAGTGGTGTGTGTGTTTAACTCCTATACACTTTCCCAAATGCTGAGTGCAATGGAGAAAGCACTATGTACAATTTCTTAAGTCTTTGGTATGACTCGGCCAGGGATCATACTCATGACCTACATAATGCAAGGCGAGCACTCTACCCACTTGGCCATTGCACCGGTAATATGTAGTTAATTTTACAGTGTTATACACATACAAAATATTGAAATTATTAGAACAAGAGACGTACTCACGTGTACATGTTGGTGGAGATGCACTCCACTGTTGATTCCCCTGACAGGTCAAGACTGCACTTCCAAAGATCTCATACCCGGGATCACATGTGAAGGTCATATGATTGCCATAGAAAGTGCCGCCTGACACAGCACCATTGCTGGGGGCTTGTGGCTGGCCACATTGTTGTTCTGTAAGGACATACAATTTTAAAGGTTAAAGCCAATCACCCACTGGACTGAGTTGCTACCTCCAGCCAATCAGCACCAAGGACAGAGATACCACTGACTGCTATTGAGAGAGCCAATCAGCATCTTAGAAAGCTAACCCTGAGTTACTACTAGCCAATCAGCACCAAGGACAGGGACATCACTGGTCATAATGTAGGAAGCCAACAAGTATTTGGGAAGCCTTGCATAACCTTTCTGCTATCCAATCATCACCAAGGACAGAGATGGCACTAACCGCACTAGAATAGGCCAATCAACATAAGAGAAATATTTCACAGTGCTACTGCCAGCCAATCAGCACAAAGGACAGGGGATTTGATGAAAGGGAATGTGGTCTATACTAATCTAGAAAAACAGCGAGCAGATTATTATTGGAATGAGCAGAGCACTTTGGACTAATCTCTCTGGCTGTTCACAGCTTAGAGGTACATATCCAATATTTTGTCACAAACTTCTCTGTTACATAGCGGATCATAATGACCCCCCAGCGGGGGTCTTCATGCTTTGTTAAAAATGGAAAAATCTCAGGATTTATTTCAAAGATCTCAATATTTTAGACGAAATCTTGAGATCTTATGAGACAATCTCAAGATCTTTCAGAAAATCTTAAGATGAAAACAAAAGGTCTCAAGATCTTCCAAGATATTTTTAAACCTTGAGAATCTTGAGATTTTTCCACAGCATCTCGAGATGCTTTAAAAAATATCAAGATTTTTTTAAAGATCTCATGATTTATAAAGTAATCTTGATATTTTTAAAGCATCTCGAGATGCTATGAAAAAATATCAAGATGCTTTGAAAACAACTTGGAAAGATCTTGAGACCTTTCATTTTCATCTTTAGATTTTCTGAAAGATTGAGATTGTCATGAAAAATCTTAAGATTGTCTCATAAGATCTCAAGATTTCGTCTAAAATATTGAGATCTTTGAAATAAATCCTGAGATTTTTCCATTTTTAACGAAGCGTGAAGACCCCCGCTGGGGGTCATTATGATCCGCTATGGAACAGAGATGTTTTTGACAAAATATTGGATATGTACCTCTAAGCTGTGAACAGCCAGAGAGATTAGTCCAAAGTGCTCTGCTCATTCCAATAATAATCTGCTCGCTGTTGAAAGTGAAATCAACCTACTTTGACAGTATGGCTGTGTTCCACTCCACTGCTGGTTGTCCTGACAGATCCTTGTTTGGTCGCCCAACAACTCGAACCCAACATTGCAGGTGAATGTTACTGTGTCTCCGTACAGGTTTGAACCATTGACTTTACCATTCAGAGGGGGGTCCAGAGTCAAGCATGGCTTTCCTAACAGAATGAAAGTAGATAGAGGTATTATCACACTTAGGTATAAAATACTATGATATTCGCAGCTTTTTATTTTAATTTCCACACCATTGCCTCCTTTGTGTACAAAATTAATCATGTTACCATTTAGTACTACAATGTATAACTCAGCTGGAAGAAGGTTGAATTATATAATGTTACCAAAAATAATGAAACAAAAACAACTGTCAGCGGATCAATCCATACTTACTGTCACATCTGGGTTGTGTTGCGCTCCATGTTTGGGCGGCCTGACATATCTGTGTGGACGTTCCATACAGTTCATACCCAGAGTCACAGGAGTATGTCACTGTGTCACCTAGATAAACCCCTCCTGTCACTGAGCCGTGGACTGGGGCTGATACATCTGGGCACTTCACACCTAGACAACAGGGGAATACATTAAATTCTGTCACCCATTTCTGCCTAATGATCCTTTTCAGCTACCATCTGAAATATTTTCATCTTATTGGAGAATTTTAAACAATGTGTTTTAGAGACCTATATATGTGATCTTGTGGAAATATGTACTAAGTAGATACTAATCATTATAACATTACAATTTGAATTTAAATATCTCATATACAACTTGAATTCCAAAATTTCAAATTTTTAGAAAATGCATTTCAACAATAAAGAAACTCTATGGAATTCTGCATTTTAAACTTACGGTCACAACTTGGCTGGATTCCCGACCACGTGCCGTCAGCCTGACACACACGAGAGGAACTCCCGCTGAGATCGTAGCCAGAGTTGCAGACAAACATGACCTGGTCTCCAAACTCATGACTTCCGCTCATCTGTCCATCAGCTATGGGACTCAGCACTGGACAATGGATCCCTATTGTGTATGGAAGAGAACAAGTTATCCATTGATTCAAACAATTGATTCAGGATAATATACAAGGCAAAAATGGTAATTCAACTGTCAATCATAAAATTAATTGTCAAAAACAAGCTAGGAAGACAATTGAGTGGGATGGTTAAAAGTCAAACAGATGTGATGTTTTACACAATATATTTCCTAGTAACTTGGTGGATCTATTTACACTTGGTTTGTTATTTACTGATTTCATTTATTAGATTCCTATATTATGGTTCATCATAATGATAACATCCACTGAGGACATGAAAGTAGAAGTGACATAACTTAATCAAAAGGAAAGAATTGAAACTTGAGATGCTAATGGATCAAGTTTACGGTAAGCGTAGCACTCACGTTCACATGTTGGTTGGGTTCCGCTCCACTGTTGGTTCATCTGACATGTCCTAATGTCGCTGCCTGAGATCTCGTACCCGGGGTCACATGTGAAGGTCACCTGGTCCCCATAGAAGGTACCCCCAGTGACAACACCGTTACTTGGTGCTGACAGTTGGGGGCACTCTTTTCCTGTTTAGGACATCATGTAAAGACAACATAAAGTGAAAACCGAATGCAATTATAATGTTTGAATATAAAAGACAGGACAAAAATTCAAACTTAAGCAGCATTGTTACCAATCATTAATAAAATGTACTAATTTTAGTAGAGAGTTAGTATAAAGATAGGAATAGGATTTATCGAGATTGAAAAAGGTTCAGTCATGAATTACATACCTTACTCACAATCTTCTGTTGCTTATGATTGCTTTATTTATAATATTATAGAATGATACGTAATACACAATTACGTTGACAAGTAGGCTGGGTTCCGCTCCATGTCATGTCAACCGGATTGCACTGCCGCACAGCGTCACCACCGACCAGTTCGTACCCATTGTTACACATGAAGATTGTCACACCATTGAGCGTGTTTTGGCCGTAAGCCAGGCCATTTGTAGGTGCATCTAGTTTAGGACATTCATTCACTGAAACGGAAAAATAAGCTGTTAGAACAACAGTCTGAAAGAAAACCTTCCAGGCAGTTTTATTTCAAAGGCATCCACACATTTTGACATGATTGTTAATGCACAATATGCAATGTTTCTGTATAAGCATTTAAAATGTAACGGCCGTTGAATTTCTAAATGAGAATTTTGTTTTTAAGAATCAGATAAAATGGGTATGTTAATAATTTGGGTATCAATCCTTAGACATTAGAACAAAAATCCTGATCAGAAAAGATCTATCATACTATTCAGCATCAGTAACCACAAAGTTATGCAGTCTTCAGCTATCCAGTTGTTCAAGAAATCTGAGTGAAGGCCTCAGTGACTCTCTTTTTTAGAATTCTTCTAAGGTTACATTTCAAGTGTTTTTAATGATGAAGTAGAATATACCTGTCTGACAAACTAATGCCCATATCATATCAGTTTGCTCATGATAACAGAGCTGTCCTTCATTGAGCGTTAATAACTTTTTTGTGCCAGGTACTGTCCTAAGTGTATATGACACTAAGGTTTGTGATATTGACCTGTACAGGAAGGCTGAAGACCGCTCCATGAGCCATCGGCTTGACAAGTTCTGTCGATGTCTCCTGCTGCCAGTGAGTACCCAGGCCAGCAGGTGAAGTGCACGGTGTCGCCATACTCGTGACCCGTCCCCGTCATGTCTGCGTACGTCGGCGCACTCAGGGAGGTGCACTGGACCTCTGAAAACAAAAAAGGTGACAGAATATTCTTCACTTCAATGTGTATCCATCAAGAACATGCTTTTTAAAACATATCCACATATTGAAGGTTATGTTTGAAAACAAAATGCACTATTTGTGTTATACAGAATGAGTTATACAGGGTTTGCTTGTAACAAAGATCTCAAAAGTAACCATTACCGTGATACATTCAATGTGACTATATAAGAAATAAGGCATTTCATATGCTAAAACCCAATTCAGCACCAAGGACAGAGTCTTTTAGTGAGAAACTTTTTTTTCAAGCAACAGCACCATAAATCTGGGAAATCATAAAATATGTTCTCAAGGCAGTTAGCCTGCCAATGCAGAAAATATCAAGTGGCATATGTGAGAACAGATGATTTAAGCTATACATGTATAGCAATATGTAACAATCTATTAGTGTAATGACTTTATTCAACCATGCATACTTTGACAGGTTGGAGGGGAGCCCGTCCATTGCTGGTTGTCCTGACATGTCTGGGTGGGGTTTCCTATCAGGTCATAGCCAATATCACAGGTGTAGGTGGCGATGTTTCCGTAGTTGTTGCCACCAGTCACTGTGCCATGGTTCAGAGCCGCAAGTGGTGGACAGGTCTTCACTGAAGGGAGAATAATGCTGTTGCTGGTGATTCCTTTTGGAAAAAAACTTGTTGGTATTTCAAGTTTAAAAATTTGAATATTAAAAAAGAAACCATGAATAGCAACTGTTACAATATCAATGGCAATACAGACAAGCAGACAGAAACATGTACTGTATTTTTTTCTGATACAAATTTCTGGTATGACTCAAAAGGTGACAAATATTATTTTTTTGATACACATTTTTAATAAACATTACAATATTGTATAACTCAGAAGTTGCAAAGATTGTTGACATTCTTAGTTTTTTGTGACACCTTAGGAATTGAGAGTCTTTTCTTGAAGGCAAATCAATCATGTCGTGTCAAACTATTAGTGACCAAGGATAGGTTTTTTTGGCAACACCTCAGGGATTGACCATTTATCCTCATCAATGACATTTAAAAACAATCTGAACTAATGTCTTACATGTACACTGAGGAGCCTGGCTGCTCCAGGAGCCTGTACTGAGACAGGTGCTGGTACTGTCACCACTCAGGAGGTACCCAACATCACAGGTGTAGGTGGCCGTGCTGCCAAAAACGTTACTCCCGGTCACATGACCATTCAGTGGATCCTGGACAGCAGAGCACTGGATTCCTGGCGCAACAGAAATCATGGTTACTGTAAATCTTGAAATGTTTGTGTTGGTTTTATTTTCATATCTTTTGCAACTTTTACACAAAATCTAATGCCAGAAATTTTTTTTAAATTCTACCATACCACATAATTGTTTCTACGGAACATTTCAACAAACAGAACCTCCTTTTTCTGTCCTACTACAAAAAAAACTACTCCAAAAATTGTTTACAGTACAATTGCACTTGAAATGATATTCACAGTTTCAATCGGAAATACAACTTATGATATCACCTGTTCACTGAGCTCCACTGGGAGGTTTTTACTTGTCTGAAAATCACTGATTTTGAGTAAGGCTTGAGTAAGCTGTACAAAACTCTTTTATCATAAATGATGAGTCTAATGTATGAATAACGTGTAATCATCATTTCAGCACCAAGGACAGTGCTGACAATATGCATATTGTTACCTGTCTGATGTATACAATCATATGACAGCTATTCCTATGTCAAAAATGAGTCTCTAACTGTTTTTCAGGTCCATATCATAAGTGTAACTCTTCATGCGCTAGACTAGGATAAAGGGTAAAGAAACTCACGAGTGCAGGTTGGTGCTGCGTCACTCCATGTCTGATCGGCCTGGCAGGTCAGGGTGCTGCTCCCTACCAAGTGATAACCAGCACTACATTGGAACTGTAGCTGGTCTCCGTACTCATTACTGCCTATCACGTTGCCATTCGCCAGGACACTGAAGAGTTGACACTGTATCTCTGTGAATTTATAAGAAATGTTATGATTGCTTAAACTTTTAAGACAGAAATAGTCATTGATTTATTCAGATTAACTGTAAAGACAACTGGCAATGGGTGGTTCATCAAAATCTAGAAATATAGGGTATAGATGTGAACAGAAGTATATTGACAAAGAGGAATCTTATGATGTTGTCTCCCTAATATGTTGAATGGGTCCCTCCAAAGTGGTCTTGCCATTTGTACCTTCTCTAAGTCACTTCTATTCTTGCCCCAAACTTTTGTGTATTTGACTTACATGTATCATGTTCCCTGCACATTGCAACATCCAGCTCTTAACTGAAAGACATGCAAATGCTTCAAAATAGGCAAAACTAGAAGTTGAAGCTCACTTGTGCAAACTGGCTGTTTTCCAGACCAGTCCAGGGTTGATTGACAGGTCCTGTTGGAGGTTCCGGTGATCTCGTACCCGGGGTCACAGGCGAAGGTCACAGTGTCCCCCACAAAGTTGGTGCCGCTGACTGTTCCATGGAGAGGGGGGTCCAGGATGGCACATTCCATTCCTGTGTTAGCAGAAGGTTAGTGTTAGAAAAAGGCGAACAGAACAAGCCACAAGAAGAGTGTGTGGAAGTAATATTAGAGAAAATTGTGTATTGAGGGATCATACAGTCAGCTTTTTGTTGGGAAATATTGATGATCTGTTTGTGGTCAAAACAGTTTGATATCACGCCAATGGAGATGGATAGCAGATCATGTATATTTGCTGTCAGTAAATGTATACCATGTAAATATGCGTTGTTTTATTTTGTATGACCTTGACCTCTTCCCTCGTGACCTCAATGAAAAGCAGCTATAATGAGCCGATTTGAGTATTTCATGAATAAACAATTTTACGTCAGCTCAAACATGTACATACGAAGACAAACTGGTGCTGCCCCACTCCAATGCTGGTTGTTCTGACATGTCTGTGACGGTGTTCCGACAAGGTCATAGCCTGGGTCGCAGGCGTAGACGGCCACGTCCCCATAGTTGTTCCCACCCACGACACTGCCGTGGACAGGGTCTGCCAGTGGTGGGCAGGTTTTCACTGATAAAAAGAGAAACAAGATTCAGAGTTTGGAACCATCTTGTTTGTTCAATCACTATTGAATACAAAAGAGCATACTGCATATTGCAAATAACGTATATAGTGTGTCCTTTGTATTTTTGCAGACTACCACTCCATAAAGCACTGGATATTTTTTTCTAGGCATCAGAGCAGGGTTACTGAAGAAAAATGATTGAAAAAGTAACCTACATGTCATAACGGATGTGACTAAAAGTGCTTCATGAGTGAAAACATAGTCCAGCACCAAGGACAGAATCTGTCAGTGTAAAACCTACCTTCAGAAAAGATCATGCTATTTCTAAAGGCCAATGAAGACGTACAGAAAATGCATTGTGGTATCAACATGTGCTGACTGAAACTACTCCTATGTCTTCCTAGAGTACTTTAGACCTTGGGGAAAGTACCACAAGCTACAACTTGAATATCAAAATAAGATGCATTCACATGAAATACTCACTTAAAGCCTGTGTATTGTTTTGCATTGTAATGAAAAATGGTCTAATGTTACAAACTAACATTACAAAATGATATGTTCTGTAAGGAGTTTGGAAAAGACCTGCCACATGGCAAAAGGCATATAAAAGTGTATGTTACGTGTGCACTGGGGTGGCTGTGAACTCCAAGTGCCTGTACTGAGGCAATAGCTGGTGCTGTCACCAAACAGGAGGTAGCCAATGTCACAGGTGTAGGTGTTTGTGTCCCCGAAGGAGCTACCACCTGTGACCTGGCCATTCTGGGGTGGCTGGAGGGGTTGACAGTGAATGGCTGATGGAAGAAAGAAGGCATTTAACATCATCATTACATGTAGGTTTACTGACAAAAAATGATCCAAAAAGCAACCATTATGGTATATTAAATGCAAGTAGATTAAGTGTTTCATGAGTTATAACCTATTTCAGCACCAAGGACAGAGTCTGTTAGTGAAAAGCTACCTGCAGAATAGATCTTCTTACTTACAGAATAAACCTTTAAAATGTTGCCAAAACATGTTACCAAAAACATGTACGTCACTCCTTGTCATATTACATTTTCTGACCTAACATATTCTCAAACAAAAAATTAAGAAATTCATCGTGCGCGAGCCATTTTCTGTGTTACATTGAATTTACCATTAAACTATTTTGCATAATTTTTCTGTACTGTTTGAAAATGTAAGAATCAGTAGCGAGGTGACTCACCACTACAGGTTGGCGCAGTGCCGTCCCACGTCTGGTCAGCCTGGCACGTCAGCGTGCTGCTACCCACCAGCTGATAACCAGAACTACACGAGAACTGCAGCTGGTCGCCAAACTCTATACCCCCCGCCATGTTGCCATTGGCTGGTGCACTCACACTGGGGCATTGGATTTCTGTGGTAAAAATTGCAAATATTCTATCTGATCATGATGTCATCTTTTAGATATCTGAGTCATTCAGCCCTTTCATAATCTGTTGTGATATCAATAAATATATTGTGATAACCCATGCTTATATGACACAGGGTGAAGAAGAAGGAAGCAAAAACAGCACAGAAAGGAATAATTAGCTTTTAGCTCAGGTAAGTCAAAATACATGGTTGGTTGAGTTGTACCATGAGCTGTTGTCATATTGCACGACTACGAATTAAATGTGTAGTACAGTACTTCTTCTTTACTGTACATTCAACACAACATATTCTTAATCATTGTTTGTCTTTGCACTGTAAATGTTCGTCAGAAAGTCACTGTTGTTGACACTGTTGCTGACACGCTGTTGTTTACTTCACAGAACAGTTGGCTGCAATGTCACAATGATAATGTTGTTTGCATAGGTGTCAATCATTTTCTAGTATAATGAATTTGCATACTTGTACAAGTCGGTTGAGTTCCTGTCCATGTCTGTGAGGATTGACAGGTCCGGGAAGAAGAACCAGAAGAAATCTCATACCCAGGGTCACAGGAGAAGGTCACAGTGTCACCCACATGACTGGTCCCACTGACTGACCCATGTAAGGGTGCATCCAAGGTCACACAGTCCATTCCTTTTAAAATGGGCAAAAATATTAAAATGTATCATATATAATGAAACATATCAAACATTTGGTCAGGCATGATGATGAGGGGACAGTTTCAGGCTTAAAATTGAACAAATGTAATGTTACTGGAAATTTTGGGCACTTTTAGGCAGGTTCATTGTGAGTCATTTCCTCCAATAAGTTTGATAATGAAGTTTGTATGACAAATATTTAAAAAAATCCAGTTGTTACAAGGAAGATGACAATTGATTGAGTAACCTTCTTTTTCTGCTATTATTCATGCGGTATTGGTACCATTGAAGGCAGAGTTTCTCATTGACAAGTAACAGGCCAATCATAACATATGATAGATAAATCAATCAACTGTGACAGTTCTCACATATCTGCAAATTACATGCAGTTTTATCACATTTTTTGTGAATTTAAACTACAAACACATGCACTGGAAATATTGCAAAAGAAGCTATTTCATCGGTTTCAACAAAGTCTAAATGTACGTGGGTGACTACACACTTATACAGTATGGTGGAGAGCCTGTCCAATGCTCGTTGTCCTGACATGTCTGGGTGGGACTCCCAACCATTTCATAGCCCGGATCGCAGGCGTAGGTGGCCACATCTCCGTAGTTGTTCCCGCCAGTCACTGACCCGTGATTTGGAGCCACAAGTGGCTGACAGGTCTTAACTAGCAAAGAAAACGGTATGGAATAAACATATGCAACTTGTTGAAGAGATTCATTTGTTACGTATAGATACAGTTACTAGAAGATTCTTTCATCAGTGACAAATTGGAAGGATAAGTATACTGACCTCCAAATTTTCGATGGCTATCAGTCCATCTTGTTCACGGAATGGCCTAATCTCGAGAGCACGAGACTAGGCCCGAGACTTGCATCGGTCTGCCGGGCCCCACCCCCAGGCCCATCTCTGACATTATTGAAATCATAGACCAAGAGTCTCGGAACCCACATAGGAAGATTAAGGAAGCGGTGCACATACAGTTGGAAGGGGCCAAGTTAAACCGGACAGAAGGTTGGGAACTCCCTAAGACTTACTTACCCTTACTCCGGAGGGAGGCAACAGGGGGTGGGGCCCAGCAGACCGATGCAAGTCTCGGGCCTAGTCTCACGCTCTCGCAAGATTAGGCCATTCCGTGAACAAGATGGACTTATAGCCATCGAAAATTTGGAGGTCAGTATCCTTATCCTTCCAATTTGTCACTGATGAAAGAATCTTCTAGTATATGCAACTTGAATTTTAAATCTTCTATCATACTTTTTTTCAGACTCTGTGTGGTATATTAAACTAAATCTGCTCTACATACACGTACACTGTAAAACATGGTATTAATCTGTGTTGGTACAGACTAACTTTGTTCAAATGCATTCAGAAGAATGAACTCATTTTATACTAAATTTTCAACCAGTCCTCTAATATTCTTTTCAGGGTTTGTGACCTAGAATCATTAATTTAGTTAATGTTACATTATCTGATCTGTGTTATTCATAAAGTTCTTCACACTTTCTCTGACAGAACTAAGATATAAGACTCTTAACAAGAAATTGTAACAGTTATGCACTCCTCACTTGTGCATGTGGGAGTTTGAGCACTCCAGGTGGCAGTACTCTGACAGGTGGTGGTGGCAGGACCGATCAACAGGAACCCAGGATCACAACCACAGCTGGCCGTGGAACCAAACACAGTCGAACCGGTCACAAAGCCATTTATTACTTGCAGAGTAGGACACTGAGTCGCTGTTAGGATGAGAGAAGTACACATCACACACATTGAATACAGCATGGATGTAGGATTTGAAGGCAATAAATTTTCAAGTCTCATAATTTCTCCGGGTACTCTAAGACAACCACTTTAAAAAATTGCTCCAAATTTGCATAAACAATGACATTACACAATCCAAGCACTTCATGTTGGGATATACACATCAATGCAGCACCAAACTTGCAGTTCTACCACTCTCTGCCTGGGGATGCAACTACATGCAGAAAAGTTGGGTCACTTTTTCCACCCCTGGACTGGACTGCTTTTTCCACTGACCCATAAAAAAAACACAAACACAATAGATGAATGAAATAACAGTCACTTACGGACACAAGTGGGCACCTGTCCACTCCAGGTTTGGTCAGCCTGGCAGGTGAGGGTGGTGCTCCCAACCAGCTGGTAGCCACTGTTACAGCTGAACTGCACCTGATTCTGGAACCGGTTGCCACCTGTCATGAGCCCGTTGGCTGGGGCACTCAGGTCTGGACAATTTCCCCCTGTACAGAAACCATTTTAACAGTTATGTGATAACTGTGCGTTTTCACAAGAACAGAATTATGCCAGGCAGATCATCTTGAGTCATCGGGGTATAATTAATTGCTCAAGTTGAATACTGAAGCAAATAGAAGTTTGTTACTAGAACCATAGTTCAGCACCAAGGACAGGGCACACCAGGACAGTCCCTATATTTGCAGGAACTTAGTATGTAACAGCTCTATATTTCAGATTCCGTTTGACATCTAGAGAAATTCTTCTCAAGAAGCCAGAGAGCAACAACTGTTACATTAAATAAATCTATGTCAAAATCATATGCAATTCACCCTGTGTGTTGACATCAATAAGCAAGTTTCTCTAGTTGTTGTGAACAGTGCACAATACACTTTAGTATCAGATATTAACATTTTCATCTATCATTCAATAAAGACCCGTATGTTCTGAACTTGAACTTTTGTATTAATCAAATTGGTTACAGATTGACTTCAAAGTAAAGAATATTAGGAAACATGTGACTTACTTCTGCACGTGGGCTGTGTTCCTGACCATGTCATGTCTGATTGACACAGTCGATCCGTGGAGCCGGCAAGATAGAAGCCAGGGTCGCAGGTGAAGGTGACAGTGTCTCCAACGTGGTTGTGGCCACTGACTGAACCGTGGTCAGGTGCAGACAGGGCAGCACAATGCAGTACTAAACAAGTTTCACACAAAAAAGAGTGCCACAGGTTATGTCGCATTAATTGTTAAATACAGTTTTGGTGAGAGAACAAAACGTTTTCCTCCCAATTTTTTTCATGACTCCCCACCCTAAAACCTCATCTACAAATGCAAACAACTAATAAATTAGATTATTGTGGCCTACTTAAAAAGGTTTATAAGTCCTCTTGAAGATACCCGAAGGAAACAATCCTAGGAAAACTGGAATCATATTAAGGTAGTACATTATGTTGCATACTATATTGTATAAAGATGTATATCCACAACATAATTATTTATAATAATTATGATTCATTCCAAGCAGCAATACCATCCCATACAGTCATCCATCAAAGTTTTCCTTTGGTTCAACTCGACAGTTTTTTCAGAATATCTTACAAGGTGTTTAAAACTATAACATTAAGGACACAGACTTTGCAAGCCATTGTTAGCTTCCTGAGATTCGTTGTACAGAGGGTGGGTAAAATAATTGTTTTAACTCACTTTGACAGGTTGGTGGAGTGCCTGACCATTGTTGGTTGCTCTGACATGTCTGGGTGGGGGACCCACTCAGGGTGTGACCATGGTCGCAGGTGTAGGTAATCACACCCCCAAAGGTAGTGGTACCTGCCACTGAGCCATGCGCAGGACGGGGGGGCATGGGACAGACCACAGCTGGAGAGGGAAGACAGGAAGCATGATGTGTAAAGATGACAGATACATGTACTTCCAAATCTTCCTTTATATATATATACAGCATATATACCATTACCTTGTACAGAGAAATTAGGCAAAAGTGGTACATATTGATAAAATATGAGTCTCACTGGGTCAGTCTGAGGAAGACTGAGGAAGACCAGTGTGACTCACAGGTCCAGAGCTCTAGGTAAGAACGTTAACCTTTTGTGTTGGAAGAAAAGTTTTAACTCATTAATATCTTGACATGTTAATGCTGCATTGAATGTTAACGAATGGATGACCTAGTGGTAAGCTCACCTTGCCATGCAGTATGCAGATTGTTACAAAACAAAGTTCATTTCGAGGCCTGATGGTGTGGGAAGGACATTAAAAATAATTATACAGATCTGAGTGAACTTACCGGTACACTGCGGTTCGTGCTGCGGTGTGTCGTGCGCTGTGTGGTGCGGTGTGTCGTGCCGTATGTGGTGGTGCGGTGCCTGGTCGCTCCACACGCCAGTACTGAGGCATGTCATGGTAGAGGGCCCACTCAGGATGTACCCAACATCACAGGTGTAGGTGATCGTGTCCCCATTCTGAGTCACCTGGCCATGCAATGGGGCTTGGACAGGAGGACACTGTATCCCTGTGGGAAAAAGTATGCAAAAAGGTTACAGTATCTTTAATTCATCTAATACATGTATTGAGATGTACCACATTTGTGGAAGGATCGACATACAATGTAACTGTTGACTATTACCTTTTTAACATGTGAAACCACTGATACCAGACAGTTTTGCTCCCGGAGAGATGGGTTCTTTGACGTGCTCGAGGTATGTTTGAAGTGCTGCTCTCCTTATAAAAGAGATCACTGGATTTTATTTCCCATTCTCTCATTCGATCATAATATAGTTTTGTCCTCCAAGTCATCAATATGAATCTGCCAATGGGATGTTGCCAAAAATGAAGATTACAAAAATTCTGCAACAGATTCTGAAACTGTTTCAAGTATAGTCAGTGTTTTCACCCAAATAATGTACACACATCCTGGAATTTTTATCTAGAAACTTAAGGTTTACAGTCAAGTTAAACGTGAACTCACTGTTACACACTGGTTCCGGTCCATCCCAGGTTCCATCTGCCTGGCAAGTCAAGGTGCTGCCCCCTAGCAGTTCATAACCAGGATTGCAGGAGAACTGCAGATGATTGCCAAATTCGTGGCCACCAGTCATGTGTCCATTGAGGGGAGCGGCCAGGACAGGACACTGGACCTCTGTTCATCAGTACATGAGGATGATAATAAATGCATTTTTACCTTCACATTCAACAACAAAGTTGTAAGTACCATGACTAAACCTGATGTTGCCAAGGAGGCTTAGGCTTCCCCTTTTTAAACCTCCTTCATGTACTTTACAGATAAAAAATGACTCAGCATTTCCAAAGAAAACAAGACTGGTGGCTTACTGGTACAAGTTGGTTCTGTCCCAGTCCAGTGCTGTGTGGACTGACAGTATCTTGAGGCTGAACCTGTTAGCTGGAAACCAGTGTGGCAGGTGTAGGTCACAGTGTCTCCTACAAAGTAGTTCCCGCTGATCGTTCCGTGGTGAGGTGCGTGCGGAACTGGACACTCTGGTACTCGGTCAGCTGAAGGAGATGATATTTTTTTGCATGTGGGGTTAAAGTATTACAATATTGTACAAGGGAAGTCCACAACCCTAAAAGACCTAAAACATTCCATTTATCTGGCATTAAGTAAGGGTGAGTTTAGATGTTAGACAGACAAACCATGACATGTCAATCACACAATCATGTGTAAGCAATTAACAATTAGCATGTATTCATTTCACACAGAAGGACTAATACATCTAATATAACACTACAGGGGGCTGTTGCAGTTTTTCTTTAATTAAAAGTTCAGAAACCATTTATCATCTGAATGCACAACATACATTATGTCACACATGTAGCATGCAACATAATTCAATAGAGCATGTATATTTACGTTGACAGGTAGGCTGAGAGCCACTCCATTGGCCGTCAGCTTGACACACCCTGTCGGCTGCACCAATCATGGTGTGCCCTGGGTCGCAGGTGAAGTGTATGGTGGTGCCGTGCAAGTAGGTCTGCCCAGTCACACTACCCTGAGCTACGGGATCCGTGTTCGTCAGTACGGTACACTGGGTCTGAACCTGGTGGTGAATCACTGCAAACGAGACCACAACAGATATACTGGCTTGGATTCTAAGAAATTCTAATTTTTAAACGACACTAGATATCTAAAAATGAATTTCAGTTTTCATCTTCTGGCCGAGAGAGTTTTCACTCAGCGACACTATGTTTGCACTGAAGAGATTCAAATAATTAGATGCAAACGTAACTTAAATAGCACTATTAATGAGGGTAGAGATTCAAGTTAGTCTTTGTACATACTACTAGCCGTTGCCAATTTGATAAAACGACATACCATGTCTTGATTCACAGACGAAATTTTGCTGTTGAGTGCAATCGTGCACCACCCACTTCGGTCCACTCTGCTTCATCAGGGCACAGTCTTTGTTATCATCGTTGGTGCCGGAGCCTGAACCCGACCTCCCCCCTGATTCTTTCTCTTCCGCCGGGCTTCTGGCCCAATCGTTGAAGCCTGTTCCACTCAGGGTGGACCCGTCCTCCCATTCCCAACGGTTTTCCACCCTCTGTTCGGACAGTCCGATCCAACAGTCGGCGCCGCACAGTTGGCTGATGTGGTCGTTGGAGGCGGCGTCCCTCGGCATGGCTAAGAAGCCGCCGTCTGCGGCACAAATCTGCCGGGCCCGGTTGTAGTCCTTCTGACGGTCGTAGGCCTTGTAGCACACCCCGTTGAACATGGTGTAGCCCGGTGTAGCGCAGCTTGTAGTTGCCATCTTTTGATCTCTGTCATTTTGCTCTCTAACTACTGATTAAAAAAAAAAGGCTGTTACAATTATATCATTATGGATTTTGTAAGTTTGAAAAGTTACCGTTTCAGGACTGCTAATATGATCATATTAGGAACTCATTAGAGCGTATTAAAAGACCAATTTTTGATGAACCATGACATGGTGACCATGAACAGTGCGTAATGATGTAACCCAAGGTTCATCCGCAAGTTTGATGTGGTATCCACAAATTATCTTCTAGGCATGGCAGTATGGGTGGTACGGCTATTAATTTGTGGTCAATTTCCTGGTGTGTTCCTTTGGAAATATCTTTAAACGAAATCAATCAGAAATGCAAATGTACTGAGTACAGAGATATCATACCTCAGTCACTCCAGACGTTTACCCACTCACAATGTATGTCGTTACAAACAATACTATGACGCGTGATTATTGATTTTCAACTGCTTTTCAACAGCGTGCTGTAAAAGGATTGGGATGTTCCGACACTTTATACATTCACTTGTCTAATAGGCCTTAATTCGCTCTGTATAAAATCAGAACCGTACATGAGAAGCATATTCTTTCATCATCATTTAATGTTTTATACGTTTACATATAACATAACAAATTTTACCTTGTGTAAATGCAAAGGCACGAGGCCAGGCTCCGAAACTGAAGAAAAAAGATCAACAACACGCTTAGCACATCATCGGTAAAACAGATCTAGTCCTAAAGTAAAGCACGTAATAATAGAATATTGCTGATCAATAAAAGAGAATCATGTTCTAATAGAAATTCTCTTCTCTGCACGTTATACAAAATGTGATTAAAATGGGTGGACAAAAAGCAAGGTAATAATGTGCCCTTTCGCATGTCACTTACGGCTGGGACTGGATATTGTGCTGCCAGGACCCCTGGTACGAGTGTTGTCCATACCTTATGTACACAGTCACCTGTCCTCCGGCATCCGTGATCCTACCATCATGGATAGCAGCACGGCAAATACTAGAGTCCTACCAAAGATTAACATCCTTTGAGTGTCTTCCGTGTCCTTCAAAATATGTATTTCTTGTACAGTTTACACTGTTTGGATCGGACAAGTGTTTAAGCATCTGTAGCACCCTTTTACACGCATAGTTTCCAGTTTACTAGTAATTGTACAGTACTCACGTCTGTGTAGATGCCAGACCCCCAAACACATACAGAGCACCCAGAGCATCCAACTGGACAACTGACGCTGTAACACGAGGGGAAATTGTTTCTGAGTATCGAGTCTGAGAGTACTTTTACAAAATGGTTTGAGAGAAATCTTAAGAGAGATTACCAAAAACAGAATGTATGCATCAAAAAAACATCTCCTCTGGGCTAAAGAAGATACGTGCATCGTTTGACAAAGACGGGGGTGCTATAGACTTCCTGGTGACCAATTTACTGACGTCACGTTTCCCAATTTTCTAGGATTCCAGTGATTGGTCATCCAGACCTGATGAAGGTTTTAATAGAGACAGCCAAAGACTCAGTAAGAATTCTTTATTGTTGAAAGGCAATTTAGACATATAGAATATATGTCATGTGTCTTCAAGCTTACGTGAAGGTTGGCTCGTGGAAGTTCGCAGCATTCGTTCCACATTCCACAGGATGGACCGGGCCTTGTACCACATTGGTATCGCACTGCAGTGAGTTCCAGGTCCCGGCATTGGGCTGTGAAATACTACTGGTGGTCCCATGGACAGGAGGTGACAGCATTGGGCATTGAACAGCTGTAATAGAATTTCGTGTTAGTCATCTTGCTGTAGATTCTACCAGGTTTCGGGAAGCGGCTGGAAATAGTAGAAATTGGCCAAATAGAGAGATAACATGCCAGAGGAGTTGGTCCGCTTGGAGAGTAAGATAACATGCCAGTTTTAAACTCCCCTGGCATGTTATCTCTTCAATGTATATTTCGCTACTTTCTACTCTTTCCAGGCTAACCGCTGCACTGTGCCAACCTGGTGTATATATGCTACCTGACGTCTGACAGTTTTCTATAGTGTTACTCAAGTAACTCTTCAATCGGTGTATCGGGCATACATTTTCAATATTTGTAGAACATGTCACGGGAATTATGCCATGATTGCAACACGAAATAATAAGTCGAATGTATCTGGTATTACTTTGTCGCTGACATGGACATTTGACCATCCATGTTGTATCCAAAACAGTGCTTTATCCAGAACCATTGTTCAGGATCACGGTTCTGGATATAGTACAAGCGTATCCAGAACCGTGCACGGAGCAACTCTATGTTCTTGGATACGCGGCGAAGTTTGCTTGATCCTAACTCTAAGTCATTCACACAAAAAACTGGGCACGTTTCTGGATACGACACGACCTACGTACCTGTACAGATCGGAGGCTGCTCGCTCCACGCCCCATGTCTGTTACATCTAATGGAGGACGGACCGCTCAGGGTGTAGCCGGGCTGACACGAGAACGTCATGTGGGAACCGGTGGACAAGGACCCGTACATCGAACCGTGCGCCAGCACAGGTAAGGCTGGACACGTTCCAACTACAGGTACGGCATACAGATATAGAAGTCAAACTTCATTTGAAAATGTTCAATCCACAACAAAGTGAGGGGATTTCATGATCAGGACCTAGTGTCTCTTTGCTTAAAAAAGTATTACGTGAAAATTATGATGTCTACATTTAAGATGACAACTTGTATATGCATTGAACAGATGAAGTCATTTTGATAAATAAATTATGATAACATTTATGTCTTATGTAAAATGGGCAGGTGATCAAGAATATGAGCTATGCAGGAACATTTTTGATAGATCGTCAGAGATTTTGGAGTTCGGGCTAGATTCTTAGTGCAGGTGAATATTACGTTAAACGCATTATACAAGATAACCCATCAATGGTTTATAACTTTCGCCACGAATAAACTGTATCTATGTAGCCGCCTTTAGGCGCAACACTAACTTCACAGACATGCAGCGCGGCAGCATAACAAAGAAAGAGATATTCAGTCATCTCATGGTCTACCAGTAATGACTACACAATAGAAAAAACTATGTGAATTTATCAACAGTTGAAAAAGAGAGCAGAAATTTCAAGATTATAGATGTACTTTCTAGAAGTTCCATAGGATTTTCCGCTATATTCTTTTACCCTTTAAATATGTTACTCATGATGTAACATCACGCTCGTATGTGTGCATTTAGCCCCATGAGCATGAACATGCAATGAAGATTCATTCATGTATTACGCTGCATAGCCTGTAACACCTATTACGTTTATGAATGAGTGAATGAAGACCTTTATTGTACACATACACATACCCACAGGTCACAAAAGGAGAATGGAATACAGATAACGTTACATAATTTTATATACAATATCATGAGTAACTGCGTAACAACGAAGTAAATTCTGTTTCTTCTCGTGTTTGTTAGTGACGCTAAAAAAAGTGACGCTAAAAAAAGATAAGGCACTCGACACTTACTCTGACATATCGGTCTGTTGTCGGACCACCTGCCGGACGACTGGCACGTTGCAGAGGTGCTGCCCAACAGCGTGTAGCCGGGGTCACAGGCGAAGTAGACCGTAACGCCGCCATTCGTGTCCGGAGAACTGATCTGTCCGTTAGCAGGGGCGTCCATGGGCGGGCACATCAGGGCTGGTGGGGAAAATGTGTTTTGTAACTGTCAATATTTAGTGTCGTGATTAGAAAAAAAACTACGATATGAAACCTGCTTCAGGGAGCATCCTTGAATGATATACATGTATAAAAGATCCTGATTTTGCATAATTGCATAATCTATTCGGGTCAAGTATCAGTTAAGCGTAGCCTACATACCAAAAAAGTGACGATTCATCAAACCTTTCTTAATTATGTTCTTGAAAAGATTTTAACCATACCGGAAACGGCTCTGCAGTTCCATATCAAGGAGCACATCAAAAACGCGTAGATATTGGCAAGTTGCAGGCTGTAAGTGTACGTGGAAAACATGCAAAGTACATACCTTTCAATTCCCACAAAACTTTACGTAAACGGTTACTTCAAGTCTAAATGTCTACGTAACCAGAACTGTTTTGAGCGAGGGTGTCATTCTCAACAGACATAATTTGCAACTGACTACTCAGATGTCTTCAGTTCTAAACAATTCTATGTAACACAATGACGCTGCAAAACTGTTGAGTATGTGAAACCGTACTTCTATGACAACAGGATCCATAGAAGCCGCTAGAGCAGGTACAGGAGACGCCGTTCCACTGCCCGCCGTTCTGGCATGACGACCCCGCGCACGGTTCCGTCTTCTGCGTGTCCCCAACGCAGTCCGCCCCGCCGTGTTCCGCCGGCCTGCACCGGTACCTGGTGAAGGTCTTCGTCCCTCCGCAGGTGTTGCCACAGTTGGAGTAGGACAGAGACCAGGACGACCACTGGCAGTCCACGGGCGGCCGGGTGGTGGTGCTTCGGCGCCGACGTCTGCGGCGACTCCCGTCAGTTTCGCCGGACAACAACAACAGTGTCAGGACCGCCGCCGTGAGCAGGAGGATCGGTCTCCCGCGCATCTGTGGATGAAGAAATGCATGGTTCTGTCGGTTTAAAACATTGACATTTTCTGGCGGCTGGAAAGAGTAGAAATTGACTATAGAGAGATGCCATGCCGGAGGAGTTGGTCCGCTAGAGAGTACAGTTCGCCGCACTCGACTTCGCGGGCTGGAAACCTTTTCCGTTAGGACTCTGCAAAGTTTCTTTTGTTAGGACTCGTGCAAGTAAGTTGTTACCTCTAACCCTTTCTTTACACTATCGTTAAAGATATATTTTATCCTAAAATAGACCACGACCGTTTCTGGAACGCTTTCTTCTTCGTTTTGATTCTTAGTCCGAAGACCATTTTGAGAAAACTTTGACCACGGATACGATAACATGCAACTGAGTCCTTAACCTACAAGAAAACAAATCTGTACTATGATAAAACACTTTAAAGTATATTTATTTCTAATCAATTACAACTTAATTAAGTGGCTTAATCTGTGTAAGTCAATATTGCCACCGACGCTCTGTGGAATTTACTTGCGGTATCATGGTATGTAATATGTCTAATGTACATAAAAACGCAACTATGTTATCTATTTGCGGTTATTTCAATCCAGCTTTCGTTGGACTTTGCGGTCCTCAAGAAAATATTTCAAAGCCCTCCCACAACCATCACCACGGTCGCATATGGCGGCGCCCATCTCCGTTTCTTAGCCCTTGGACCACACGATTGTGAAATCACTATAGCAGGGGGCTAGTCCGCTGGTAGTGGTGTATGTTTAACTCCCATACTCAAATGCTGGGTGCTAAGCAGAGAAAGCAGAATGTATCAAAAGTCTTTGGTATGACTTGGCCGGGGATCGAACTCTTATGGTAAGATGCCAATGTTTGGATCAGGGTTCCCAATGTTCAAGCCACACACATAGCCAAAAATGGCCTTTCAAACCTTCTCCAGACCATGATTGGGAGACCGAGTTAGTCGTGAATGAGCAACGTCATCTGTGGTTGGGATTATTCGGCGGACTTTCCTACTTGTTTAAAAGAGTCGTCTGTGCCAGCCGACTATACGTTTTGAAAAAAATAATTAAAACTCGAGAAAATGATCGACTGATTTCTATTATACGATCAGAGGGGCGATGACAGGATATTCCCAACCCAACGCCGACCTGTTGGGAAGTGGTCGGGAGAAATAGGGCGGGTCGTTAACTACAAACGGGTACACATTACATGAACGACATACTGTAATCACCATCATGTTTTACACGTACCTTGATAGTGATGACAACAAGAATTCCAGTGGGCGGTAATGTTGACTTATTTTGAGGGCGCCACACAATGAAACTGTCAGTTCAGCACTTGAGTCCATGTTTGTCCTATCTTACAAAGCCAATGGCAGACTCAAGAGTGCGTCATTGTACAAGTACACATGGCTTAATATGTTTATTGATAGTTTACTGGGAAACGCCCGCTTACTTAACCTTCTTCCTGCTGCCTAACCCCGTAACCAATAGAGTAGTTAAACGGCTTCTTCGGCCGGTGTACTTAAGGTTAAACACTGCTTTTCTTGGACTTAATAGACTCCTTTTCATTTCTTAGTTCTGAATCTTTAAACATATTTCGTTTCGATGTCTAAGTATGGAAGTCATGAAACTTCTTTATCCTTGTCAACTGGTATTGTTATATTGTCGTTAATATAAACATCAACGTTACATTAATTTAAATATCTACGTGGCGATTAAGAAAATAAATGATTCTTTCATTCCCACGTCGTCTTCGTACCAGCTGAAACATGCAATAGTAAAGTTGCCTTGATTTCGGACACCTGTGCCATAGTTAGCACACAATGCAATGATGAATGCCCTTCTATAACATAAAGGCTTCGTGGCAAGTAAAAAATGCAATTACTGGCATACTTTCGCAAGCACTTCTAACAGAACACGACAGGGTGTGGCCATGACATTACAATGACCTAAAACATTAACTAGTCCTTAGTTAGACGATGTGACAGTGCATATATTTCACTATGACAGGGAGAGATATACACTCGCCATGCATGCGAGAGGTACCTACGTAGAAACAATTACATAGAATATATACTGAAATCAAAAGAAGTTATAACTACTTTGAAGAAACATCTGAAGTACATATACAAATATCTAACTACTTAGGACAGGCGCTACGATTTTTAATTTACAAACCGTCTCTGTGGTGTCCCTGTTGCTGAATCGGTAAGGTCCCGTTTCCACTAGACGACGATCGTTGAGTGACCAAATTGGATTAGTGTGATCCTTTGTGTCATAATCGGAATACGATGCATGATATGAAATTATGCTCTAAAGGACAACCCGACAAACAAAACGTCCATGAAATTCGCCGAGCGATGTATGAAATCTTTGGTCAGTCAGCGGTTACAGCATCTAGTGGAAAGCTGGCGTAATGGGGGCTACACCGAGTGCAGTTACCTGATAGATGCCATTTGTTACTTCAGGCAATATATCTAGCGGAGACGCAATATATATCCAGCTCTTCAATCCAGTGACCTCTTCTCTTGAGGCTTGTCTTCAGTTTTTGTCTTGAGTCAAGTCTCATAAACGCCATAGAAGGTTTAACAAGTGACCTAGCTTTGAGACTCGGTCCGTCGCTCAGTCCAATGATAAGGACTATGCTAAAGACTGCATCCACACAGGGACTTGAGTTTACCTCCACTACAAGTCGCTGATCATGACGCTGTTGCGCATTTTATGTCAAACGGACGTCCTTAAGAGTTGGCCAAATTTCCCATTATCTCTCTCTCTCTCTCTTAATCGCGTTCTCCCATTCACGAATATCAAGGGACTGAGTGCTCAGCCTTACAACCATAGAGGCATAAACATTCATACGTTTGGAAAAAAATGCTGACTTCAGAAAATCGTTCCGAGGACACTTTAAAGTGCCATTATCAAAAAAGGCACTTTTCTGAGACAACTTTCCACCTAATGCAACTTTTGTAACACCAATAATCGGGGCGTGCGGTTGGTAAGTTCCTTACCTTAATTGATTTCTCTCCAAGCCCTTGCGGTGCTTCCTCACACTTAGTCAAATCACTGTTCCTACCTACTTATAGGTGCCACCTGGTCTAAAGTCTACACTTGGATGGACGTCACGAGTAGATTAGACAAAGTATAAAATCTATAATTAGTCTAACCCCGTGTTGCGAAGTATCATCGCTAGAGTAACCGTGTCAAATTTGACGCGCAGTGAATGATAAATTCTTGTTTTGTTACACTCGTAAGATGCAAGGTACACCGACATGACCTACTGTGTCGTGAAAGTCAGGGGCAATTAAGGATTTCGTTTTAGATGCGTGAGTAAACTCAAGATTGAGGTGAATAGCTTCACGTATACGTACACTGCGATGTAGTGTTGCATGCAGTGGTACTAGTCGCATGATGTATTTGAATACAACAGTTTTAGTTCATGATTTTTGTCCACTCTGAGAGACACTGCCACGCTAGGACCCTGAAACGCCACTGATGAGACACACACGCCACTACGGCTGTAGATAGACTGTCTACACCCAGACGAAAAGAAGAAGGAAGATTTCCAATTGATGACAATCACATTTTCCGTACAGCTAGCGTTGTACTAAGTTAGCGTCATATCAAAATTGGTAGTAATACATAGTTACGTATTCCTACGATCTCCATATAACTGTCTTTTATTCTTTTTAACAACTCAACTGCACTACAAAACATAGTTGGTGATATCGAAGGGCAACACCTAGTAACATCTATTTGTTTACAACGCATACTACAATATGACGCACTCTAGCTCTCTCTGTCTCGTGCTGGTCTTGTCATGTACGTGTATTTCCAGTGTTGTTTTATATGATACAGTTGTTAGGCCTGGTTCTGACAGAATGTACAGTAACCATGATAGATGCATAGTAAGTACAGCAGAAAGAATTCGATCATTCTGGGCCGAAATAACAACGTGCACGTCTCCCGGCAACAAAGAAATGGCGAGGAGAAAGGGTCAGGGGTGACCACATGATGTTTGTCCAATCAAGACAGCTGATACATGTAACTAAAGAGATAGTATGTCGTCCATGACATGCCATTGTGTGCAGGGTTTCATAACAAATATTTGTTTTTCTCTGTTAAAAACCGAGACAGCCGTGGTAAAAATAACTTTTAAAGTCAGTAAACAACAATGAAGCTAGAGTTTTAACAACCAACGGCTGATGTCACAACAGAGGGTACGACGAGACGAGGTAAGGACCTATCTTCTTCACAAAACCGTTTTTCACAAGTACTAGTATTTGGGTTACAAATCCAGACCACCAGGCAACGTCGGTAAACGTAAAACTCTGGTGTTTCTTTTTTTTAATGAAAAACCTTCTACCACTGATACCAGTTGTCATAGAAGTGAAAAGAGAAAATAAAAAAAAAGATGAAATGATTTAATTCTTTAATTCATATGACGAAGGTGTCACTACTTCAAATGTACAAGACTCGACGTTCAGCCATCTAGGTTCAGGAAAATGTTTTAGTCTTTAGTCTAAAGGTGAAGGTTGAAGGTACAATCCATCCATCGGTCAGCTGTCGTCCTGGCTGCCCTCGGCCCCGCCCTGTGACGAGCCCCTCCCCGGCCGCCGGACGTAACTTCTCCTGCACAGGAAAGGGAAACAAGCTTGGCTCAATAGCATGTATCTCTGTGGATTGTTTTGCTGTTCTTTACAACTGAGGGTATGCCTCCAAAAGCACGCTGCAAATAGAGTAAAGGTAAAGGGGGGGATCATACAACCGATTAAACAAAGCAAGGCAGTAGGGGAACACCGATGTAATGTTGGCTTGGAGATACGAGAATGTAACCTTGTGCGACGGTCTGTTCGGTACTCACAATAAGTCGTTCGCCCTCTGGAGTTCTTCAATCTTCTTTTCTGTCGCCTCCATCCACTCCTGGTACTTTTCGCTGAACTGTGTTTTTAACTGCGATGATGAACATGAATGTTAATGTCAAATGCAACGTGTCAAATTCATTGTTGATCTGGATGACCATATGCACAAGCGACCTTTATCGGTTAACAACAAAACTGCAGCAATTTACCTTCAGTTGATACTGTTCCTCCATCTCGCACCAGTGAGCCTCCTTCACGCTGAGTTCCTCGTACAGCGCCTCTATCTTCTCTTCCGTTATCAGTAGCCGTGACCTCAGCTCCATATTCTGATCGTTCAGTTCCCTGTTGAGTGTTTCTTCTTCCCTTAGCTTCTTCCTAAGTGTCTCTAGCTCTTTTTCGTGATCACAAGAAGGTGCCTTTTCCGAAAAAAAAAGAAAGTTGCAACGTCAAGCACAACGCGCTTGTCTATCTGTTTACTCAGGACCGGCCAAACTTCAAATTGCACGGCTGCTCGTTTCTAAATTTAATTAAAAATCGCAAAGCAACAAATTTTCAAGAATCACATTCTACGTATGTTGCATGATAGGGATAGACGAGACTACTAGTAATATGTTACCTGTTGTCCCTGAATTTCTTTCCGTAGCCGGTCCATTTCGGCTTGGTGGTCCAGTCTGAGTTTGTCTAGCTGTCTGTTAAGCTCGGAGACTTCCTTGTTTCTTTCTGCAGCGCTGTTATCTAACTTCTGCTGAAGCTCTGCAAGCTTGCCGTCGTCAACTGTCTTCGCGGGTCTTGCACTGTATTAGATTCATAAGACCAAGGACGTTTTACAGAATGTCATTGAAGCCATAAACATTCTAGTATCCCTATGAAATGCATCGTAATCTTACATATATGATCATGTTTTCGCAGAAGTATTAACTCCAATACCATTTAATAGAAAAGGGAACATGTTGGATTTTGCGTGGAAATAACGATATTATTGTTGAACTTGATAGTGAAACTTTTTTTTGCTATTTTAGACTCATTGCTAACCACAGTTTTGAGTGACATATTGTTAACAAACGTACTAGAGAAACACGCACAGAATACTTGACAGAAAGCATGTTCTTTCCGGGTCCCAAGCTTTACAACGATCAGTGGTTACCTAAAAGGGTCTGCGACACTGAGGACCTCACGCTCTCTTTTCAGTATAGTTGTGTTCTTGGCCTTCCTCAGTTCGTCTAGCCTCTTCTTTAGTGTAGCGACCTCTTCTTCTAACTACAAAGGGGGAAGGATACTAGTAATTCAATGAAGAGCTTTATTTATTGAAGTGGGTATTGTGTAGCCTGGGTGCCATCCCCAGTAGTATTTGCCCGCTAGCTTACAACTGGTAGCTAGCGACATTATAGAGCGGACGAATACTACTGGGGATGGCACCCAAGCTAGGTATTGTGTAACTTGGAAAGTACAACTCGACATATTGTACTACTGCACTAGAACGATTGGGGCACAATTAAGCTTGTTAAAATTACTAACTATGGCATTTGGTATCAGTATTGTCCTGCAGTCGCTATCGGTATCGTTACCTCCTTTACTCTGTTCTTCAGGAATGCTCCGTTAGTTCGCGCCTCTGAAGCCCTCTCTGCAGACGGGCTCCCTGAATTTTTTGTCCCCTTCTTGGCGGCTGTCTTGGACGCCATCTTGGTCTACTTTTCGTCATGCAAGACTAGAAACAAAAGGTTCATAGACGTCAGACTGCTCTTTTAGCGTTGAAGAGCGATGTACGTAGATGCTCCAGATCTCTTATGTCAGCATTAGCTGATAAGACACCCGGAAAGGGTTGCTGAGTTGCGACGTAAGCCAAGAAGGTCTCCTATCTTTTTGCTTCCGAGTTGCAGCGTACGTAGCGTTTTGACACCTGTTGCTTCGGCAAATACAGTACGGTACCTCACAAGGCGCAGTACACTGGCCAAGGGATTCCGAGAAGAGTTTCGCTTGTCTTTTAGTATCCCCACTCCTTAGCAGGGTCTGCAGCGAAGACAGCTTTCCGATCTTCCTTGTTTCTGAGCTGAAGCAAGGTAACGGCTTGACAGTTTGGTTTTCTCGGCTTGGTTGCACCTGGTGAAGTTTGTTTACTTAAAGGGTAAAGGTTAACGGAGAGGATTGTGGGACGAAAGAGAACAAGAAGCTCATATAGCAGCGCAGAAGTAAATTGGCTCGAAAAATGCAGAGTTCACAAGTTGACGTCGATATCAGAAGACTGGACATCGGTAATATTTCTGACTATACAAAATGCATGTATATGTATGTATGAAAATCAAAGTTTAAGTCAAGAAACAAACTAACAAATGTTTTTCAATACACCCAAAAGGACTAGAACTGTCGGAGCGCGCAATTGAGGTTAGTTTGAGAATCAATCGCGTAGCACAAATTGTTTGAGTCGCCAAGGATAAACCTCGCCCAAACTTTGCGTGACTGTGAAAAGTAATCACCATCACTCAGGCATTCAAAAGCCACGCGGCATTGCGCCTGTATCCACCTTTCCGCGGCTATCAATCAAGTGTAATATCATGATTAGGATTCACGCCAACCCTAAAATTATCGTTTGTGTTCTCATAAATACATCGCGGTGTCTAAAAATCGACAAAAATGATTTTGAGGAATGTTTGATCTAACGTTATAAGAGGTTAACGTTAACGCATACTAGATGAAATCCAGATGATTTGATCTGTTTATTTGTTAGTTTAGACGCAAACTAGTTATCATTTGTACGGTGCGAATGTAACACATGAGCTAACAGAGCATCAAAGAGATGCCGAATCTTCTACCAAACCTCTCGATAATAAATCCCTGGTTTCCAAAGAGTTGCGATGATGGCGTCACGCAATCCTTGAATAATTAAAGAAACGTAGTCAGTGTCCGTGGAATTATTTAACTTGACACGCCAGTGCTTCAGAGTCGCTATCCAAGCCAAACGAGCATGTCGTGATAAAAAGCTCATTGACCTCCAGAAATGGAGTGATTGATCATGTTATCGGGATGGTTTAATGGTTAACTTGGCAACGCCATTAGTTATGGTCGTAAAAGAGTGCGCTTTTGAGGTTTAACGTAACGTACAGGTAATTTGCTAGTGGAACCCGAACGCTATCCTCGTATATTGAGGGATCAAAGATGCCGTTACTTTAGCGCTCGACAATTAGTTTAGGATCCAAATGCCCCACACAGAAGAAATAAGCCGCTTAGCGTCAAAGTAAAGAGCTTTTGAAACAGGTTGTTTGACAGGTGGTTTGTGTTGTCATAGCAACAACAACATCCGGCAATAGTGGCGCAAGGGATATTGGGTAAATTCCAAGATGGCGTCGGAACTGAACAAACTGAGGATGGTTTCTCTCTACTTTTCTCACAACAATCACAGTTTTGTGAATCGTCGGCTGCGTCTGTGACGGTGTAGCAAGGCCTCTAACAAGTTCACATGTTTATCGAAGTCCGGTTAAACGTTAGTGCGTGACGAGGGCTCAGATTCGGAGGTGAGGTAAGTTTCTTTACGTGCATTTACGTTAATCAGATTATGTTCCATAATAGCAGTGATTTTGAAGTGAAAAGCTTCCATTCAGAGGTGTTGTTGTTTCGGTGCTCTTGGCTCTTGAATGGCAGCTGGGTGGATGGAGTGGTGATCGAGCTGTAGAGAGGCTGTTCACGTAAGGATGACGCACATGCATTAACACACATGCACATCTGCTCTTTTATATATAATTCGGATTGCGAGATTGGATGTTTTTGAAAATCACACACTTTTCTTCTATTTTTGTACTAAATTAATGCGGATTTTAGTGGCTTTTGAGTATTCTTCCTAAAGATTTAAAACAAGTAAAAAAGCATTGCCATCAAATGTAGTAGAGGCTAAGAATTTTCAAAATTAAATTAGATACTAGTAGTAGCAGTTTTAAACAGAACCTCCTTGACAGCAGTGGTGGAACTGTATATGGAATTATACATGCAGAGGTCATGTGTGACAAGACACCTAAAATGGTCATGTTTGTACATTGATCATCATCAATCAGGTGACCTATATACCTGTCATTTTCATCATCATCATCGTGCATATGACCCCATCAGGGGCTAAGTAGCTTGAGGTCCCAAGCTAGAGCAGGCAGGCCTCCACCAATGGTGGGAGCCATCACAGCCATGCCAGACAGGGCATTTCAGTTTCACATTCCTGGGAATGGTGTGTGTGTGGGGGGGAGGGGATGGGTTATAAATGGTGTCAACATCATCCTCCCATCTTACACTTGTTACAATAAGGTCACAAATCTACTAGTAAGTAGTAAGTACCGACTTTGGATCCCCCTTGAGTTGTAGCATATATTTTGCAAGTATAATGAATAGATATCACATGTGCTTCAAGATTTCGATGTTTTCTCATTTTGCACGTGTTGCTGTTGATGTCATTGTAATATAGATTATAACTTTATCATATGGTATGAAGCTAATACTAGCCAATACATGATTTAATAAAACAGTTTAGCTTTTCCACAAGATATAATCAGAGTTTGTCTTCTGTTAACATGTATATGACTAAAGCACTTATTAAGATCTACTGAGTAAAATGGTGTTATACTGGAAGTTGACACATTGCTCTATCATTTCCCAGCAAGCTGAGAGCAGTTAACTTCATCATGGCTGACTCCAGGAACTCCAGAGGAAGTGGACAGATGACCACCCACAACAGTGACCAGCTGCTGGACATGTTACGGCAGGAGGTCATGAGCCAAGGCAGTGATAGACCAGGTGGTCACAGGAACAAGGGTGCAGTACAGGACAGTCTGGATACATACAGGTACATAGCAGCTGACAAAAAATGATAACAAAGGAATTGATTTAATCGTTATATAATGTTATTTTATTTCTTTATATGAAATACCCCAACCCTGATAACATAGTAGTGATGCATGATGAGCAAGGGCCAATAGGCAAGCAGCATTTCTACAGATGAAGGCATGATTGGCTAATTTGCAGGTGTTTGTTCTTCTTGCTGATTGGCTGTTGAGATTATTGGATCAGGCCTGTCAGCACCAGGTGTTAAAACCTTGACTATTTTTTCATTCAGGTCTGTCAAAGTAGACTCATCTTCAGACGAGGAACGCGAGGAACACTACCCAGTGACAGTCCTGGCCAAAATCACCTGCACTCAAGAGACAGCCCTCATCTTCCCTACCAACCAAAAGGCTACAGTCATGACAGGAACGTTACGTCAGAAAGCGACCGTTACACTGTTTCTACGTCGCAACAGACAACACGGCCACATAGAACAGTTCCAGGTTCTGTTCAGCGAGCGGTTCGACAGCTCGGCAATTCTGATGACGATGACGATAATGATGAGCATGTGAGAGACAGTTTAGATGATGAAGAGGATGATTTAGCTGAAGAGGAGAATTATCAGCAGCAGCTGAAGGAACGTCTGAAGCAAGAGCAGGAACAGCTGCAATCAGATGATAGTCTAGAGGATGGGGAGGAGAGTCCTTCAGATTCACTTGATCTACCGGTACAACATGGAGGAGGGCACAACTCCGAAAACTCTCCGCTGTCAATAGACACACGGGGAAGCGACCGTTACGAGGACTTAGAGAGAGGCTCTCAAACTCCCGGTAAGGATCCGTACGCAAACCTGAGGTACGATCCCAACTGGAAGGAGAGAGGTGCTCTGATCGTTAGTACACCGTACGTTCAGGAGGAGCTACAAGCCAGGACAAGAATGGTGGATTTTGAACAGGACTTCTTCCCTTCAGACTCTTTAGAGTCTGCAGACAAAAACACATTGCGGTTAGGAACGCCCCACCCCACGAGGGACATGGACAACAGCAGAGAGGCGAGTCGGGAGTCGCAAGATTCCCGGTACACCCTTCAGACAGAAAGTGATGCTCAGAGTGTCTCCAGAGGGAGTTCTGATGATAGAACGCCAGAGAGAGACCACAAAGGTGGAAATCAGCATTACTCTAGTCCCGAGGAGGACGACGCAAGTGAGCGAGAGGAGATAAGGGGGTACCATAGAGCTCTCAAAGTGGGAGAGCCGAGAGTTGTTCCTTACAACAAACCATTCCCATCTCCCCCTCAGGCGCCGTATGCTCAACAGCCCACCCTGAATGCCTATCATTGGCCACCGGCTGGGAATGAGGAGGAGTCAGGGTACCAAAGCAAGAAGGATTCCCAACACAAACCCAAGCAACAGCACAGACCAGTGGGCTATACAAGCCCTCGTGCTGTTGGTCCAGTTGTCCAGAAAGCAGCAATGCCAGAAGAATTCGAACAGTTGCATTCCCCTAATGATGATTACAATACTTCTTCAGACGTGACCATCACAAGTAGCATGACAAACCAAAGACAGCCAGTCGAGAAGCCGCCCCTTCCCAGGCCACCGAAGACTGAGAAACCGCCACCAAAATCCTTCATAGAACTGAACAAAGAAAACCTGAACAGGCAAGATGCAAAGAAGGGAGGGTCATATGCCAGACGATACGCACAGAAGAAAGCACTAAATGAACAGCCTCCGTCTGCTAGGAGACAGAAAGCGGGAAAGAGTGAAGTTTCAGAATCCAACCTAGACGATACGGATGATTTTTCCAACATGACAGCTGAAGAGGTGTGGCAGCTTAAGCAAGAGAGGTTGAGACAAGCAAAGGAGGCAAAAAGTGGCGTGAAAAGCGGCAAGAAGCCCAAACATCAGAAAACCATAAGAACTGATGCCTCGCCACCGAGCAAAGCGTCAAGTGCCAGCTCAACTGCGTCTAAGAATTCACAGGCAAGTCAAGAAAGTATGGAGCTAAGATCCATCTCACAGACCACCACTCAGGTGGATGCTCCACCTGTCAGGATGCAAGGTGCACCACAGCACTCCCCTCGGGATGCAGGCTACCAATCACAGGCTTTGCCTCCGCAGATGAACCAATCGCCGCAAGGCTTGTATCCTGAAGGTGCCCAGACGTCCCCTCATGCATATCAACCTATGCAGCAACCAATGTATGCCTTTCCAAGTCAGCAGGCTCCCATAAATGTGAACATCAATCTCAGTTTTGACCCCAATGAGATCAGTCCAAAGCAGGGACAGGCAGGGAACCGTGTTAGTCCCAGGGTCACAGTAGATACTGAAGGGAGACAGGACAGCCACCCAGACTTTCCTGACACAAAGCATCATTCCCCAGATGGACACAGACAAGACAACTCACCACAGAGAAGAGGTTACCAGGACTACAACGCTACCCACGGGCCACCAGAAGAGATGGGAAGCTATGGTCCTAGAACTCCTGAGTCCCACAGGTCTCACCCTCAGACAAGGCCCAGGCAGCTCAGAAAGGAGACCGCCTACACAACCCTCTCTGATCCCACCGACAAGTCCACACAGCAGTATAGAAGGGAGCGAACTTACTCAAAGCCTGCTGAAGTTGAAGAGGGTTATGGGTATGACTCTGAGCCTGTGCAGGGGTCGTATGCACAGATTCACCAAGCTGAGAGGAGACTCATGCAAGAGGAGCAGCAACACAGACAGAGGTCGCTGCCTGGTAGTGGTGTGAGGGAGCCGTACCAGGGGGCATACACCGGCCACCAGGAAAGACCTGACCAGAGGGAAGGTTGGCCTCATAGGGGAGGGGAGTACGATGATCCTTTTAACAGCTCTCAAGAATATGAGGAAGGTCCGCACACTTATGTCGAGCTTCATGCAGCGAGGAGGGCTCAGGAGGAATCCCAGCACCAGGTTAGTCCTCGGGGGTCACATACCAAGGTGCAGCAACATCCTGGGCCACACTACAGGACACAGGGGCCACCTCAACATCATGGGCCACATGACAGGTCACATGGGCCAGCACAACATCATGGGCCACACGAGAGGCCTCACGGCCCATCACAACATCATGGGCCACGTTATGGGCCCCCTGAACAGCATGGGCCACATGGCAGAATAACGCAAAGGCACCAAGCCCCTGACTATAGTCCTCAACAACATGGACATGCTGCATGGCATGCAGACCTCCACCAACCCCCTCACCCCCACCACCAACCCCCTCACCCCCACTTTCCCCCCTACCTGCGCAATGTTGGTAGGCGTTCTAGCGAGGGAGACATCGCAGACTTCTACCAGCAAGACGGCGTGAGACGAGAGTCCTTCAGCCCATACAGCAAGATCCCGCCTATCGGCCCGCAGGAAGAGAGGAAAGCTGCCAAGAACACCATCAACCACGCAAACAAACATACTCTGAAGGCAAAGAGCAACTCGGAGGGATACTTGGCTTCGTATGCCAAAAGTAAGGCCATGGCAAAGAAGAAACCACAGACATACAAGCCTTATACTATGAAAGATTACAACAACCTGAAGAAAGATACGAGACTAGGAGGGCTGGGACCAGACCTGGAGAGAGTCCAAGACAAGGTAGGTCATTCTATAGGCAATGTGCCGGGCCTTGTTATTGTAAAAAATGATATATTTCCTGCATATAAGTTGTATCAAATATGACACATTCAGTCTCACGACCATGCTTGTTTGGCTTTTTTTCTACATGTATTTCAGACATCTCAAACATGTATATTTAAAATTAAAGCTGTGATCCAAAAGTTTTGTTCCCTACCTGGTGATAATCGGGCTATGTCTTTTAAGACCGAGAAAGCACGCAGACAGAAGGAGTATGCCAACACCCTGAGGGAACAACATGCCAAACAGAAGGCAGACTGGCAGAAGAAGAGAGACGCCCAGCCGTACTACCCACAGGATGACGAGGGGGACTTCTACTCCAAGAGAGAAGTCGTAAGTCATTTTGTACAACCTGTTCTGTTTCTCGACAAGGAATGCATTTTTCTTTTGAAACCAGACAGCACACAATTTGTGTCCCAAAATTCAAAACACAGAGCTCAAACCTAAAAATACTTTTTTCTTAATATAATGAATTACCGCTAAAAGCTGATCAAATCTAGAAACCAGGTGTTATCTGAAATGATGCGACTTTTGCTGTATTTCTGGTTTGAGAAAAATGCATACCACTCTGCTGTTATAGGAGTAGTATAATGTAGTACCTAAGCATTCTCTGTAGGAAGGCAATAAAGCACTTAATAACCAAAAGCACCTAGGTAGCAAAAAAAACTAGGCACCAGTGTCCGAATACTAATTTCCCCTGCAACTCCCTACTTTAAAGCGTATAATCTAAACTCTCCAAATATCTCAATATGAACCTTGCATGTATTTAAATATGCAATTATGCAGCAGGAGGTGGAAGAAGAAGATGATGCCCAAAAAAGGAGAAAGAGAGTGAGTATTATGGGATATATTCTCAAATATGGCTACAAAAGCCATATTGCCACTCTTGCCATCTCATTAATATGCATGCTGACTAAACCTCTCATTCTGATGTTTCACTGCAGTTTTCTCATACTAAAAGCTCACGATATGGTGCCTACATAACCATATTACATCTAAAAGGAATTAGAATAGACTAATCTGCTAGAGCTTATGCACATCATGAACCTGATATGCTTTTTACATTCATTGAAACATTACTAATAGTAAAGATATTGCCTACATATTATGTGTGCCTGTAAATATACACATGGACTTGAATAATGGATTTTCATGTCACTGAGTTATCATAGTAGAACATATGGCATCCTCAAATGCTCTTGGTTACAGGTAACTAATCTAGTTAACTAATCTACGGGAATAAGATAAACATAACATTTTGATAACTATAGTCATTGAAATCTGTCAACTTGTGTTGGGTGCAATGAAAATTATTTTCACTAGAGGGCTCTCCTCACATTAATCCCTACCATCTAATGACTTTGCTACACAACCCTTCAGGGTTTTGTGTAGGTAACATGCAGTTGGACAGTGAGTAACATATGACCATTTTCAGGCCTTGCAGTATGCCAAGAGTGTGCCAAAGCCCAAGCCTGCACCTCTACCGAAGGCAGTGACGCTTCTGGAAACCCATCAGCATCCAGACACCATCCCCTACCACCCACCACCGGCAGAGAACCACCAACCAAACATCATGAAGATAGAACGTGAAGACCCCGCGCAGCCCGCACCAAGCCCGGCGCTGTCAGAAATCCAGAAGATGAGGATGAGACACGAGAAGGACAGAGCAAATGCGGAGGCCATCCGCCGAAACATGGGTTCAAAAGTACAGGGGGTTGTGGACTCTTAGAGTACCAGTTAGTGCAAGGGGAACTTGATGCTAAAGACTCAGTAGATGCATCTTGTCTTGCCTTTCAAGTTGCATTCTTTCAGGGACACTTCTTTAAATGATTAGGCCACACTCATTTATTTCCTTGATTATTACACATTTTAAAGTAAAACTTCAGCAAGACGACAATATGAAAACACAGAACTGGGTGTAAATCTCCAGCCTTACTAAGGAGGTTCCATCAAATTTTATTGCACCTCCATGGTCCTAGGTGTCACCATATTCCTTTCTTTAGAAATTGTATGTAGCAAGTTACAAACGTTCCCCTCAGCCATGTTTCAACTTTTGTGTTTCATGTGGGTTTTATATCTTTCAATATCTAAGAACCAAAAACATGTTTGGAAAGATCACGACATCTTTAACAAAATTTTTTCTTGTCAGTGGTCTTTTAGGAGTTTTCTTGTTTGTATTTTTGTTTGGACCACATTTGTCCTACCCTACATTTGTGCTTCCCTACATTTTCGAACTTGCAGTCAGAAACCAAGGCTACTAAAAGTCATGCCACACCAGTCATTCTGCACCTGGGCTTCAGTTGGCCTCTTCCTTTGTGTGTTGGCAATAACACGCCCGCATGGCACACATTGTGCACAAAGTAAGTCATACCAACTAGAGCACCGTTGACCCAACTCCAATCCCGGCAACAAACCCTTTCACGAAACATTTCCTGGGGCGAATGCTTGGTCCACATATCTTTTCTGTCCTCGATGAATCCCTGCGACATTGTGACTCCAGTAAAATCTGGAGATCAACTTGAAAACACACCATCAGGAATATATATGTCAAGGTGTATTGTGCCTTTTGCATCTCCAACAACATATAAACAGTACACAGAGCTGCTCCCCCACTAGGGATAGGGTATACAGGAGCACCGAATGGCCCGTTTGCACATAAACCATGGTGTAAATATGTACAGTTGGATTAGTAATTGTTTGTGGGCACATTCCGAAGTTTCTCAAGTACAGAGATGGTGCGAAAAGTTAGGGACCAATCAAGCGAAATTTGATACTTCAGGAAATAGTTTAAGACTGTTATCTAGGAGCCAGATCCTTTGTTGTAATGTCTGAATCTTGAATGTAATGTGTACAAAGTAAGGTTACACTAGAATGTGCAATGACAAAAAGTGGGATGATTTGAACACTATAATGATGTAATGATATAATTGTTCGTACCACAAATTCTATCTAATGGTGTATATATATAGTTTTTGTTTGTAAATTTGTTACTGGCCTCTCAACGTTCTGTGTGATGTGTTCAAAGCGTAAACAAAAGGCTTATAGACGTATATAGCAGCCTAGCCCTATATCATTGTCCTATCAACAAAGAACAGGTGCGAGCACGTTGTGCAATTTACTAGGTAAACACCCCCAATAATTGTAAACCACCGTTTAATGGAAATTGCTGAACATACACACCTGTTCGCCGTACATCCACCTGCTGACCACCAGGAGCTTTCATTTACAGCTTTATTACGTCGTGTAGTTCCTGTGTCGTTTTGAAGTGTGATAGGGGGGGTAGGGTTGAGTCAAGATTTGAACGTTGTCATTAGAGTCACCTATTGTTGGAGCATATGGATGACACTATTTTAAAGATGGGTAGAAATTATATTTTTTGATTGTCTAATATGTTTTGACTGAAATGTTGTCATCCAAGTAAATCTATATGTTGTGCCACAGTCTGTAAGTCACATCAAATTCATCAATATAGAGTATATGTAGTATGTGTACAGATATGTATTGAATGTATAGGTGGAACACTTTAGATGTATGTGTATAGCTGATCAATCAGGAACGTTCAGAAATGTGATGTAAATATAAGAAATGTACCCTGATCCATATTTTTATTCACCAGATAACAAACTCATTAATTGTCAGTTTTTGTGTCTTTCGTTAAGTGCTGTCACCCCACAGTTGCTTTTATTCTGAAACAGTCTGTTGTTGTGCAAAACTCAAGAGAGCTGTTTTGACTTGTATACGGTTACTGATGCTCAAAAGCACTTAAAATCCGATATATCTAAAAGCGATGTCCGGTTTCCGGACAAGCCATTGAATATATGAACTGCAGGTGTGAAACTTGTATGGACTCTTGGCATTCTGCTTTTGACAGTCGTAAAGTTGGGATATCTGGAATTGATGTGTTTGTGTTTGGTAAGTCACACAGGTGTTCACACAGGTAATAAATCAAACAGGTGAGTCTGACACCTTAATTGTCCCACGGCCCACTGGAGTCTTAACTTGGGTGCCATTCCTTTTATAGCGAGAGAGCCGTGTATTGTGCAAGTTGTGCCCTTTGTAACGTACCAACCGAGAAACTCCTAGTTTTTATGATTCTTGGCCAAAGCCACAACATAGGAAATATATTGGTATTTTTAAAAGCAACCCAGTGAGATGTCTTGAGTGCCCTCTAGTGGAAGGTTTATCTCTAAGGACACTAAAGGCACTTGTCTTTTTGATGGACCATAGTGTGTGGAGAATGCTAAGTTGAAAAGATTTTTAAAGAAAGAAAGATGTTTAAATCCGTCAAATACCTCACTAGCTGTCAGCATGATTTTCTTTCGGCTTTAGAAAGGGCAAAAGTCCTGACAAGTTTCCTCTATTAACCATTATTCTTAAAAACCTGAGTCTTGACGAGAAAGCAACCTTGGTTTGATCAAAGCCAAAATGAGCAAATAACTCAACTACTACTTTAAATCTGCCAGGTCTTTTGTTGTAACTTACAATAAAACACATGGATGTGTTTGTTTAAGAAAGGTTGAGCTTGCAAAACTGTCCAGCCAATCAAAATTTACACACTGATATAAACTTGGGATATCAGAAGGGTTTTGGAACGTGCAGTTTATTGATTTTGCCTCATGGGATGAATAGTTATCATCTGTTCAGAGTGTGGCAAATGACATCAAGCAAATTGCTCTTATCAAAGTGTCAGAAATGTTTCTTCCACATTGGGTGTTGATCTGGGAACATATACATCTGGAAGGGTCTATGGTTCAATCAGGTTATTATGATCTTATCATCAAATGATCGAGTCATTAAGTTCACCCATAAATGTAGGCTGTATCATCTCACTTCCTTGTTTCGCAGAGAGTTTGAAGTAAAAATTTTAAAAGAGGTCAAGATTAAAAACTAAAGTAGTGTGTATGAAAGAAAAAATCAGGAGACTTAAAGCTGCTTTCCTCTCAGACTGAGTCCTTGGCAAACGTCACTGGCAAGTTGTGCGGTTTTCAAAGACAAATGACATTCCATTTCCAAAGACCTTTTTGCAAACAACATGTACTTGCTAATTACCGTCAACAAGCAGGTAAGATGGATTATATAACCTCCTCAGGTAGAACAATAGCCCGTGGACACCTGGGGGGCTGTAGATTACCCTACAGATCACAGCAAATTGCCTGTTTGATCAGGCTCAGGGCCAAAATCTTATGCTTGAGTCTGTGTAAAGAAAAAGGGGGAAGTTGAATCCCAAGGCAAATTGGCTCAGGGTGAAACCATTTTGTGTGAAGTATTTTGGAAGGAAGCTGATGTGTGTTTAGGGTAGGGGGGTAGGTAGTGAAATATTTTCAGTCAGCAGATATATTCAACTTGAACTTTCAGGCTGTTGGATACAATGCATTAGGTAGAATTATCTCCCTAAACAATTGAATTATAAAATGGAGTAGGTAACGTTAGATATCTGTGGATTGCTGTTTCCAACTTCTCTTCAATTTCATTTCTAAGATACCTTTTTGCCCATCTAGAGAGATGATTTTGGTATATACACGTGTAGACCAAGTCTTATACACAATTATGTTCCTGTACTTCAGGTCTATTCCCTTATTTTTCAAGTGATTTGACTGATTTTCAGAGCCTTAGGCAAATGCCACCAATTCAAAAGAGACCCCAGACTTCCTCTTAGATGTAATGTTAACATTATAACTTCAACCTCTTGTCTTGTCTCTTGCTAAGCTTTGTACATGTCAGCACTTTCCATGTTGAGCAAATACAAACTGTTCTAGCATTAGAAGAGGATGCATGTACTCAGCGTACGGCAACAGCTACGTAAACTGTGTCTCATGCTCCAATTGTAATTTGAATTTAATTCACAATAACAAACACACTGTTGCAGCTTTAAGAGCTAATCTTCTACTGCGCTTGTTTTCCTACACCATATGTACAAATAGGGGACCACAAAGGCGTCAAACAAGGACTTCGCAAGAGTGAAGCACATGTGGTTTTACGCGTGCTGCATGGCGCGTGCTTGTGAGAACGGCACGTTGTTGATGAGAAGAGGATTTAGATTTTTTTTTCAAAATTTGGTCAAAACCTATTAAGTAAAGTCTTGCTTTTCTCATTAGATAAACAATTGCATCAATTTCAAAGTTGAGTCTATTTGTGTTCATATACTAAGTACTTTTTTCCTTTGCCCTGTTGTCCATTGAGGAACTTCAAAAAGTTCAATCAATGTAGGTCATATGATGACATGTTCAACTACATTTGGTGCCCTATTAAACTACATGTATTTGCCTTTTTTTTTTCAAACAAATGTACTTGTGGGTCGTCTTATGTGCCAAATCAAAGATAGAAAAAGATGTTTAGCCCACTGTCTTGTAAACCTGCAGCCCGATAAAGCAATCTTTAATTTTTTCTTTTAAATTCAAAGAAAAGGGAGTATATCTTCAAGAGATTTATTGACAAAGTATTCCTAATGTTACATCCTGAACGTAAAAGTTTTAACCTGAGTCTCTAGTACTGTTAGTTATCCTATTTTTCTTAATACAAATACTACTGCATACAAGGATCATCAGAAATATTTTGGAGTTGTTAGTACTAGTGTTAGTACAAGCACTTGAAAAATACTTGGTGTGGTTATAACATTGTTACCTTGTCTAGCCTACATAAAATGACAAAAGTATGGAACAAGATCTGAATGACCTCAATCATTCTCCCTTTTTTTGTACCCCACAAGCATGTTTGATGTCATAATACTTTCTATTGTATGATACGAAAAGGTTCCCGTTCGGTGAGCCATTACTATTCAGAGCGAGTAAAAATTAGCCCTGGTCGCAGTATTTTCTATACACAGACACCTGTATGTTAATACAGCTCTTGTTTATTTTGACTTATCATTGTGACCTTTGAGCAAAGAAAAAAGCAAACATCCAAGACTATCATGTAAACGAATCGATATTGTCACGGGTGACAGGAAATGGACCTTGAAACAGGATGGAGAGCAAATCATGTCCACATTTATTTATCATT